GTATTGGGAGAGTAAAATGTACTCTTCCCAATACTTTAAGCCGTTGTGTGACACTGCAGGTGTCACATGTCAGCCCTAAAGATCGAGAGCTGAGTGATCACAAACCGCTGATCACTCAGTTCACAATCTCCTCCCTGCAGATAGTGGTGTCTGTCAGTCATCACTCCTCACAGGGATTCCCCCTCCCCTCTCAATTCCTCTAGCGCTTATTGGAGGGACAGACAGGAGAGGGGGTAGGCACAGCTGGCTCTGGCTCTATAGAGGCAGAGCCAGCTGTCAATCATGCAGCAGAGTGGATCCCAACAATTTTGGGGGGATCCTTTCCGCCTGTAGCACGGCTATGTGATGTTAGCAATATATCAGTAGCCCACTATCCGGCGAGTTTCGGTCAGAGTAGAACATTAGTAAATCTAAAAGAGGACTAAAGGCAAAAAGGTTTTGCTTTAGTTCTCTTTTAAGTAAGCCACGTTTGTGTATTTATACCTGCCATTTTTGCATCAAATCTCTCTGTCCCTTTCCTTTCCATTTGTCCCTAATTTGGGTCTGATGTACAAATATCTATTAAAATGTTTTATTTAACTACCAAAAATGTTATGCGGCACTAAAACCTTCATCCCGCCTCTTAAGTATCTTGTTTATAGTTTCAGAAAATCAATATGAAGCAAAAGTAATGGTGAAAAAGAAACAATTTTAGATGGATCCAATCATTTTTGGCATATAAATGAATAATGGTCCGCATTACTGGGGGCACAGCAGGGGTGTGTCCATTGTCTAAATAGATTGTAATTTGGTATGTATGGTGAATTTAAGGCTACGCTAAACATCATGTCAGGTCACAGGCTTCCCACGATGCATGTTTTATATAAAATAATTATATAATAATAAATATTTTATAACATTGTTCTGTTTCACTCTCCCTGTTTATTATTAGCTGCTACAGGGGTGGATAAAGCTGTTTTTGCTTTCATTGCTGACCTCATATGAATGATGTCAGTGCAACTGGGGGTTATGAGAGGGAGAAGTGAATGGCTTCTGACAGGAATAGTACTGCTTTTGTTTCTGGAGATTAATTTGGCCACAGTTGGTTGAGGGGGCCACAACACTGGCATTAGGTTACGGGGCCAGTTTAGAACATCAGGTATGTTTCCAGGCCTCTAGAAATGGCCCACAAACTGCAAGAGTGCTGCCTCCTAATGGCCTGTTAGCTTGTAATAAAATATTTTTTTGGGAAACCTTGTCAGTACAGTGAGAATTTATGAGAATTCAACAGATGTTTAGGTATCCCTTCTCCAGGAAGGAAGAATTTGATGTTGCTTATCATGAAAGGGATCTTTCTCTGGGTAGGTGTACTTTAAGTTGGTATAAATTGAATGATTTTAACTTCAGGGACTGAATTGTTTGCAAGAGAACAAAGAGCTGTATGTACAAATGGTTGTTTATAACTGACACCCCTAGACTTAGAAAACGGAAAATATATCATATCAGGAACCATTCTCGGATGATTACCAGTGATTGCTCTGACAGTAGAAACAGATCCTATAAACATACAGCTGCTGCACACCACTAATACCTGTAATCAATTGAAAATAACATCAGTACAAAGTTAAAATCATCATTTAGAACTCTGGTTGGTATGCATTGTGTTTGAAATAACATTGATACTGTATGTCTTGTTTAAACATATTATTGAGTTGCACCCCTTGGCTTCTATATGGAGGTGTCAACTACAGCTGCAACCAACTAATTGATTAATCGATAATGAGAATAGTTGTTAACTATTCTCATTATCAATTAGTTGGTTGGATCCCCTAGCTCTCTCCTCCATGCTAGGAGGAGGGCACAGCAAGCAATGGGCGGGTGCAATAGCCAACCTGCGATTGGCTATTGCAATGCCGTGCGTTCCAGTGTAGTGCGATTGCAAAAAAATTTAAACTTTATGTTTGTAATTTTGTTTGTTTGTGATTTGTATTTTAAATTAAGGATGGTATTTGTTCATTTTTTTATCCGATTAATACACACTAAAAAAACACACTAAAACGAACCAAAAAAAAAGAAAAGGTGCATGTACGCTTTTTCTTTTTAAAGACAGTGCACCACAACACATGGTATTGAGTTACTGTGCATTGTAGTACACAATGTTGGCAAGGCCCATCAGGGTGCCATTAAGAACGAACCCCAACACGTACATTTTGTCGCGTCTCACAGAACACAGGTGTAAACGAGGCTTCAGGGCTTTTACATCTGTATACAGTAACACTCTTGGCACTTGGAAGTATTCTTTCACAAACAAGTGTATTGATACTAATGATGTAATGTGCTAGTGGCAGTGAGTGTGACTTTTTTTTTCCACAACACAGCCAAACAGCTCTTAATGTGCTAAGCATGTTTTCTGTTACCTAAGGGAGGGTCTCTTAGAAAAGGGTGTAACATAATGCCCCTGATTGAGTAAACAGCTTCGTGTTTACTTCTTAGGTTGGGCTTTTTCAAGAGATGATATTCACACGAAATGAACCATTTACCAATGGAGGTGCTTGGATCTCAGGGGACAGCTAGCAACTAGTGACTAACTTGATTCATAAATGTATTTTCATATGATCTCCCTTCTGTGTTCACTAAGGATTAACAAAACATTGCCGATCCTCTCAGTATATCTAACACTATACAGTATTTACTGTTGTTTGTGTTCATTGTGTTAAACAGGTTTTTATTCTACAACTTTCTGCTGCTATTTTATTATATATTATTATTATTATATGATTATATTATATTATAATAATCCCATATAATCTGGCCTCTTTGCTCATTTTTGTTAAGAATGTTTCTGGAGCTGGTATTGATTTTATAGGCCACTATAGATTATTTTCCTTTAAAGCATTTGGCTGGGGGAAAAAAAAACTCAGTATAGTTCTGCAATGCATGCGCATGTATTGATGTTTTGTATCAAAAAAATATCTGATGTCATTCCAGAAATCTAGTGAGCTCCTAACTTCTTGTAATGAGCTGCCATCGCTTTAGCTTTGATTTACTAAGGGCAAGTCAGCTGTTCTATTTGAAAGGGAATTTTCCTTTAGCTTAGTGAATGAGATGAAGCTCTGCTGACTTACATCATCCAGTCATGTGCAAACTCCTTCCCATTGTTGCACGGAAATCCCAAACATTGTCATCAGTGCTCTCTGAGATCTCCCCTGCTAAACGTCAGAACACCCCCTATATGATAGAGATGAGCCGAAGGGATTAAGGGTTTATTTTCACTTTAAGGTTAGTTAAACTGACACTAAACTTGAGAGTTCAACTTAAAAAATGTATTCAAGTACCTTAACAATTAACAAAAATGTATGTTATTTGTGTATCACTCGGCTGTAGATCCTCAAATCATCTCTAAATTGGTGCTGACACTGTCCTTCCTTCTGGAGGGTGGCTACTTTTGTTCCACTCCCCTGTGATGGACCACAATCTCATTACAAATTAGTAAACTAAACATGAGATTGTAGTCCATCACAGGAGGGAGCTTGGAGCGGTGGCTACTTTACAACACACAAGGACTATGGTGAACAAAAGTAGTCACCCTCCAGAAGGAAGGACAGTGTCAACACCAATTCAGGGATGATTTGAGGATCTATAGCCGAGTGATACACAAATAACATACATTTTTGGCAATAGTTAAGTTACTTGAATTTATTTTTAAGATTTAACTCCTGAATTTAGTGTCACTTTAAATGTTATGGTTCTGTTGTGACTTTATCTTTGTTAAGGAGACTCTCGTTCCTTTCATGTCTTGGTGACTGAAAGTGTGGGGAGTTTGTCACCAAAACAGGTGGTAAGAAGAATCTCCCAATAGGGACACCTGCTTCAATGACAGATGTCAAAGGTGAGGTTTCCTCTCACTATCTGTTGTGTAAATTAGAGAAACACAGAGCGTATCATCACCTTCAATAGGGCTGCAGCTAACGATTATTTTCATAATCGATTAGTTGGCTGATCATTTTTTCGATTAAACGATTAAACAGATAAATTAAAAAATAATACCGCCATTTATTGAAAATAAATTACACAAATGCAGCTCTACGGACATAAAGTTTACCTCAGAATAAAACGGTATGTACATTTTTTGAAAATCGCACTGCACTGGAACGCTCAGCATTGCAGTACCGCGCGTTCAGTGCGGGCGATCGCACTGCAGACGGGAGGTGCATTTGGGATCCATTAAAATGAATGGGACCACAAAGCACCTCCTGCAGCAAAATTTGTCAGGCCAAAACTGAAACTTGACTTTTCCCACCATGTGTGTATATATTTATTTATTTTTAAATAATTGTATGTATTATATTAGACATTTTAATTAGGTTCATGGATTTAAAATAATGGGGATTGTAGAACTCTAAGCCAATATCATAAAATAACCAAACTTTTATTTAAAATAACACACCAAAAAATGTTTTTTGTACTTTTAATTTTAGTTTATTTAACTTAATTTTTTTTTAATCGTTTGCATTTTTAATTTTTATTTGTTTAACTATTTTTACATTTTTTAGTCTTTTTAATTTTAGTTTAATTATAGTTTTTAAACTTTTTTTTTCAACTTCATTGCTGGGAGCAATAGCCAGCCTGGCATTGGATATTTCAAATTGCAATAGCCAATAAAAGACTGGGTATTGCACCTGCCCACTGCCTGCTGTCAATCAGCAAAGGAGGGACCTGAAGGAGACAGCAGGCAGTGGACAGGTGCAATAGCCAGCCTGTTATTGGCTTTTGCATTTTAAAATATACAAAAGCTTCATTGCACGGGGCCCGGCTTCCTGATTGGCCAGCTTCACGACCAACCAGGAAGCCGGACAGCGAGTCATTATACGCTGCCAGGCTTCCCAGCCAATCAGGAAGGTATAAGATGACTAAAGCTGTATTTTTGTTGAGGCCATTTGTTGTACAAGTAATGTCTGAATGTAGTCTTGTCACATTGTATGTCCACATGTCATATCTCAGTTATTTCTTTTTTTCTCCAGTATAACCGGGTATGGATCCCTGATGCAGATGAAGTTTGGAAATCTGCTGAAATTACAAAAGACTTGAAGATTGGGGACACCGTGCTTCACCTACGCCTGGAAGATGGCTCTGTAAGAGGGGGAGGGGGGGTTATATATTTTTAGGCATATGTGACTTTCTTTTATTCAGATTTGTTTCTCGTCAACAATAGCTATCTTATGACTCATTATAATAAAATAGGTAGCAGAGTCACTTTTGCCTTTCACTTATGTTTATAAAGGGATATTTTATGCCCGAGCTGTATTGATATCTCACATTACTCATAAATGGAGACACGTATTTACCTGGCCTGACCACACACAGGCAGGTTGCTGATCAGTAATGATGACAGTAATCGGTTTCCATCCCTAGTGTCATGCTGCCATATCCACTGTGACCATTTTCCTTAATTATGCTGTTACACTTTAAATTTGGCATGGAAGTCAAAGTCATATGATGATGCTCATCACATCTACATTTCCCTTTGCATCAGTTATGATTAACAGAGAAACACCGTGAGGGGGATTTAGCAAAACTGGAACAGACAAAATCTGGAGCAGCTGTGCATGGCAACCAGTCGGCTTCTCTCTTTCATTTTGAAATCTTAACTGAACAAACTGAAGAGAGAAGCTGATTGGTTGCGATGAGCAACTGCTCCAGATTCTGTTTGCTGCAGTTTTGATACGCCCCCCTTCCCCCTCATATATTCCACTGAATATTTTCTCAGCTATATTCTTAGCATGTATCCAAAGAGTGCACTGAATGGTAGCCATGTAGGAAAACTTCACCTTTCCAGCAATGAGTTAAACGATTCATGGATATTCGTGCATTGATGTTTATAGCCCCTAATGCAGAGGTGCATGAGAGTTTAAAGGGGAACTCCAGGCAACCAGATAAATATGCCAGCGAAGTACATAAATGTTTACTGTTTTGCCTTCCAAATGATATGCAATTGTGTCTTGTAATTTACACACCCTTACCGTACAAGTAGGAAGATCACTGTCTTGGTTCACTTTTATAGTTCCTTGAGTTAGCTCTCTGCCCAAATCAGGGTTATGTTGTAGATTCATTATCCAGTGAGCAAATTTGAAGCAGAAGGTTGATATGGGTAGCTTCAAAGCCAATCAGGAAATAAGAGTGTCAACTGCCTGGCAGGGAAGGTTTGAAAGGTGTGTGAAGATTAGCTAAACAGAGAACAAAAATCCTTTGGGAGGTAAAACAACTCATCTATATGTAATTAAGATTGAGGTCTGCATTAAAATAAGTTTTGTGTTTATGCACAAAATAAATCTTTTGATTAAGCCATGTTTTCTTTAGAAGTGGGTGCTGGCAAAATCCTAGTCATTAGGGCAAACATGAGAAGGAATGCTCATCACGGTGTACCAATTTGCTGTTATAAAGGTATACATAAAGTAAAATGTTTAGAATCAATGGTCAGTGGGCAGCAAAGACCACAGCAAATATCCATGGCAGGTTTCTCTTAATAAAGAGACTGTTATAGTTTAGGTCTTAGTCTATTTTCTTAAACTCCTAACCTAGTTCCTAAAACCTTGAATCTTTGGCGTATATGTGGAAATGTCTATGCTGTTCTCTAATACTTCTAATCAATGTATATGGAGGTGTATGTAAACCCTTAATCTATTTTTCAGTATGTCAGGCATTATACCTCACTGTGTACAGATTTCTTTAGGAAATAGTTTTTTGGGAATTTGTTGCAAATTGTATTACCTTTAATTTCCTGCCAGTAACAGCACTTCCTGTTGCAGGCTAATAATCCTCCTGGGCCATCCCTCCCCTCTGTCCCCCCCAGCATCCCCAGCCTACTATGTGCACTTCTTCTTCCCATTGGGCTGCCTAATACGTTTATCAGAAAGGCAGCCCAATGACCAAGTTAAGCAGCTCATACGGCAGTGGCCTAGCCCTGTCAGCCTTCAACATGAGGTAAGAAAGTTTGTAGCAGATTCACAAAAAATTGTTTTGCTTAAATAAACTGTATACAGTGAGGTATGATGCGAAACATACTGAAAAAAAGATTTGGGGTTTACATTGAAAATACAAATCTATTTTGTGGACAGATGTCTGTGAGAAATATTAGAATGGTAGTAGAATAAATAAGGTTTTATTACTGCTATTATTGTAGGACCTGAAATATGTAATTGAGAAGAGTCTGCCGCCTCTCAGAAATCCAGACATTCTTGTTGGAGAAAATGACCTCACAGCTCTCAGTTACCTGCATGAGCCAGCTGTTCTTCACAATCTCAAAGTGCGATTCATGGAGTCCAAACTTATCTACACCTACAGTGGTAAGCAAACATTGTGTCACAGCTGCTTGAAGCTTTCTTCATTTTTTAAAAGATGAAAATGATTAACTCACTTTCCTTTGTATGTTGGGTTGGTCATGCAAAAAAAGCTTCTGATCATTAATTCTCAAATGATCTGTGCATATATTCCCACAAGTTGGAATGTGAAATGCCAGCTTAGCTCTGCTAGCAGTAGATACAAATAAGAATTTGTCCAACTTCCCTTACCGGTGTACACCCTGTTGCTAGACTATTTATTTCAACATAAATCTTCCCATAAGAGTATATGTGATTTAAACATATTTTTGGCATGTTATTTACCTGTAAAAGCCTCCCTTGTGTAGCCATCTCGGATGTGATGTCAGCAGCCTCAGCAGACTCAGAGGTGTCACTCAAGTGAAACTCTACTGCAGTGATGGCTAATGTTTTTTAGCCCGAGTGAGCCAACTGCAACGCATAATCAAATTATTTATCTCAAAGTGCCAAAACTAAAAATACATTTAGTATCGTGTTTTAGTTTAAGTACTGGGGTTTAAAAAACATTCAACATCACTGCTTTAGGCAAAATAGGGAAAAACACATATTGAAACATTTAATTTTCTTCTTTATTTAGTAAATGTTTTTACTTTTTTATCACTTATTTATTTACTTTTTAAAAATGCCATTTCTTATTTTCTTTTACTTATTTTTTAAATAATTTTTATTGATTTTATTTTCTATTTTTTAATTTTTTTAATTTGATATTTTTTACTAATTTTATAAAAACATTTTTTAACTTTTTTTAACTTAACTTTATTGCTATCACACAGAGGATGACAAGCCCCTGTGTGATAGCATTTGGAGGTGACAGGTTCTCTTTATTGAACCTGTCACCTCCAATACAGGAGTTTTAGCACAGCATTGTGCTGGCTCTCCTGTGATATCTGAGATGGGAAGGCTGTGAGTACAGTGTTCCTGTCTCACTGTTCACACAGAGCAGAGCGGAGAATGGACATCCTCCGCTCTGCTCCCCGCTCTTAACCCTGAACTACTTTGCCATGGTCCCAGGTCCCCCAGAAGATCGATGGACCCCGAAAATCACAGCGGGGAGGACAGCGGAAGGCTGGGAAAGAGGCAGCCAGCGGTGGGGGCAGACAATGGAGAGGGGGGGCAGCGGGGAGGGATGGCCCAGGAGGCTTATTACAAGTGATATAGGTGGCATCCCCGAGATCACTTGTACTATACGAGCGGCGGCTTCCCTACTCTACATTTAGCCCTGCTTGCCCGAATCAAGGCTAAATGTAGAAAAAAAAGCTATCTGCCCAGCGTCCAGAACTGCATGTCCCTGGTATCGGGCGATACAAATTTGCCACCCCTGCCTAGGCTCGCATGCCACCAGAGTGGCTTCTACGTGCCCTCTGTGGCACACGTGCCATAGGTCTGCCATCGCTGCTCTATAGTATTCCCCTTCGCTTGTCCCCTATCAGCTACATAAAAGGTAATCAGTCAGCCTATTTAAATGGAGAAAAGTAGTCACTGTTGTTTTGTATTGTTGTGAACTCCACACTGAACATGGACCATAGAAATCAAAGGAGAAAGTTGTCTTAGGTAATCACAAAGAAATTTATAGACCAGCATGTTATGTTTTGGGTCTGCTTTTCTGTGTGTGGCACAGGATACCTTTAATCTGTGCAGGGCGCAAGGAAATATCAAGACTATCAAGGAATTCTGGGGGGAAATGTACTGCACAGTGCCACAAAGCTCAGTCGCAGTTAATAGGTTAGGATAATGACTCAAAACAGCTTCAGCCTTCTATGAGCTCTGATTTAAATCCTATTGAACATCTATGAAAATAGCAGAAACATGCAGTCTGGAGAAGGCACCCTTCAAACCTGAGACAGCAAGAGCAGTTTGCTAAATAAGAATGAACTAAACTACCTGTTGGCAGATGCAGAAGTCTCATGAGGGGCTACAGAAATGTCTTGTTTGCAGTAATTGCCTCTAAAGGTTGTGCAACAAATGTTTAGGTGAAGGGTCCGATCATTTTTGTCCATGCCATTTTCATATGATTAATTATGTTACCATATGGTAGGTGAGTTGCGTTGCCATTCATTTGGACAGACACTGCGACATGTATAGTTTATGTGGCCCATTTTATTTTTGGTATTTAGTATGTAGAAACTTTTAAATACAATTTCTTGTCATGACTGATAAACTCAAGAACAAAAAAAAAACTCACTTGAACTACAATAAATAAATAGTTGCAGAACTAAATAAATACACCTGGACAAATATGATCATGTTCACACCGTGGTTAGCTTTAGCTAGGGTAATTAAAGGACTTGTGGCTATATAGTTCTGGTTTGCTTTTCAATCATTTGTTTCAGTGTGTTGTGTTCTTTCCCTTGTAATGGATAAAACAGTGCAGTGCAGAAATATAAAATTCCACAACTAGAAACATGGCAGGGCAGGTAGAATAAAATGATTGGGCATTTAATAAGATGAAATAGAGATAATTTATTTCCATGTAATATAGTAGTGCTGCCTGATTAGGTGAAACGTATACTTCTTGTACGTGGCCAGTCATATAGCCACTTTGTGACGGGACGTACACTGTACGTCTCTCGTCACGAAGGGGTTAATGTGATATTCATTTTCTTTTGGTCAGCTATCCCTATACATCCTATACATGCATTTTAAAATCGATCTATTATGCCCATTGGAAAGTCTACTGTTGGAATGTGTATATTGGGTCTCAGGCATCAGATTGTCAGTGCTAAAAACTGTTCCCAAAGCTACTATTCAGCCTCAGACCTGCACTGGGCATTGACAGTTGGAATCTTAAAGTGTGTGGTCTAGTGTACATGGGCCTCAGTTCAGGTCAGTTTGGCATTAGCTCATGCTTTTGCTTCTTCAAGTCAGGATGCACAGCAAATGTATGTAAAAAAAAAGAAAATGTCATGATAGATGCATGTATAAACCTAATAAACTAATCACTAATATTACTCAAAATCTTGCACACTAGCTCTGTACTTGGTTGGTTGCCGTGAGGCAATAAAGACAATTCTTAGTAGTGATACTCCAAACAAAGAGAAACAAATGCACACTGCTATTCCAGCCACTGGATTAGTTTGTTAAGCCAAGCAAGTCACTCTTATCCTGCCAGGTTTCATTCTCTGACAGGCAGAAATTGTTGACTCAGTGGAGTTAGTGTGGTGCTTTTCATGTATTTGGAGAGAGAGAAACTGTACAAGCATAATATAACAACACAAGTAATGACATGTATTAGAGCATATCTAAACCAACAAACAAAAATGTCATATATTGCAGCTTACCAGTCCTTAGATGTGGTGGCTGCATTCATTTTCTTTTTTCTAGCTTTTATTTCTTTATTTTCACCAGGTGATCCTGCCAGTAGTACACTTGATGTCTTAGGGTAACAAATCTCATTAAGGAAGAACTCCTGTTACATGTTATTAACCCTTACAGTGGGGCTACCACCGGACTGCAAGGGTTAAGTGCTCATTTTTGTCTAGGTGTCTTCTCTTCCTCTGCACAGAGGGAATGCTCCTTGTGTCCTCACATCTATGCACAGTGTATAGAGCATGATGACAACAGGATCCTTAGACAACTGCAACAGAGGGGAGAGACGCTTGAGACACCGGTTTAAGAACAAGCTGGCTCGGATGGTCTGGTGAGTATTTACATTTCTTTTATTTTTTTAGCACCTAGACACAAATGAGCACTTGGCCCTTGCAGTGCGGAGGTAACCCCACTGCAAGGTTTAATAAAAATTTTTTCCTGGAGTTCTTCTTTAAGTGTACTACATCTATGCATCATCCTCACTGTTGGCTGCTTTTTCTGATTTATATCTACAAACACCTCCCATATTCTCTTCTTAAGTACATAGAGGGGAGGGTTTCAGCAGTCCACAAATATAGCTGCGAACAATGTAACTTTTTTGCACTTAACAAACATATATATAAAAAAAAACTATTTTAATTGTCTATTTAATAGTTCAAAAGGGAGCAAATAAGAGAAATACCACCTCTGTAGGAAACAGTGAGGTGGAAAAAGAAGTTATACTCCAACCAAAAATAGATAAATAATCAGCCATTTGGCTTACTTTAATTAGAAAAATATGATTAATACATTTAAGAGAGTATGAACATAACAGACACTGTGACAAGGACCTTATGTTATAATTTGCAAAGTTGTCAATGCATCACACTTGTTAAAATCACTGAAACAACACCATATCCACGACCCTTTCTATTTTAAGTATTGTGACCACTGATATATATTGCTGTAATTAATGGCAGAGACCACCTTGAGGTGAATATCCACTCCCCTCTAGAGCAAGGAACACATTCCAATGTAAATTAACCCCATGCTGGGTACTGATAAGGAATTTAGGAATGATTAATTCGGCTCTGGTGTGTTCTCATTGTAGCTGACAGAGAAACATTGCTTCAATTGGCTGATTATTTATCTATTTTTGGTTGGAGTATAACTTCTTTTTCCACCTCACTGTTTCCTACCGAGGTGGTATTTCTACATGTATGCTTTTAGGTTATCAACCACATCGGTTGATGTGTATTTTTACACACTATAGTGGTATCCTTTTATCCTATAGCAAATAAGAGAAGTTTATTGTTAGGGTTTACATACAGTAACCTTTAAACATCAGGGGCACTTGTGGGTGTCCAGCTGCGGCCAAAGCTAGTAGTGGTGTGCAATACTTTCATATGGGTACTGGTGCAGATAATCTAAAGTCCCCAAATTCTTTGCTGGAGTTCTGGGACAAGTAAATATTACTGAAAAAACTTAAAGGTCTATTTAAGGTCTATTCAACATCTGGATCGTCCTGCCACTCGCTGCTGTTCGTCCTACGGTATTCTCATAGGGGCCGAACGGCAGTGAGTGAATAGCCGAATGCCGCCGAGCTGAATTCGGCTCGGTTATTGTGCTCGGTACCTCCGTGTTACCGAGCAGAATAGAAAAACAGTGTAAAAAGTTGAAAAATAAAAAAAAGTTTACAAAAGTAAATAAAAGATCAATGTTCAAAAATGAATAAAGATTTCCAAAAAAAAAAGAAATACATTTAAGATTATTGGAAAAAGAAAAAAAGAAAGATTATTGAAGAAAGAGAAAAGAAATTGAAAAAAGAATAAAGAAACAATTGGGCGGAGCTAGCAGTGCCAGCTAGCTCCACCCAAATTTCCTATTTACCACCACTACAGATAAGCATGTGTTCAGCAAAGGCATATATCTGCGGCTGGGAGTAAAAGCCGAGATGAGGCTAGAGATCTCCTGAATTATCTGCATATGGCACCTGCCAGAGTCTCCTAGCAGGTCCCGGCCAATGAATAACAACTGGGCGGAGCCATCCGTGAGATCGCTGCTGGTTCCGTCCAGCTGTCAGTTGCAAGGCTTTCAGCCGGCCAATGGCCGGCCGCTCGTCCCGCTTCGGGTTTCACTTCGCCTCAGTCGAGCCGAAGCATATGCCTTTGTCTTGGCCGAACCGCTCGGCCAGCTTCGAGAGCACTACGGGCTATAGTGAATAGCCCGTACAGCAGCCCTTCGGTTCTACTGCCGCAGCTACGACTGATCCTTCGGCTAGCTTTGTGAATAACCCTTTAAAAGTTGCTTTCTTTTTTATGTTAATAATAGCAGGGGATCTTGGCACTCCAAAGATCAATGTGTAATCTTTAATTCATCCATTGGCATACAGCAAATATCACAGACTAACATATGTAATGCGTTTCACACAAACTTGGGCTAAATCATAGAACTCTGTGATGCACCGCAGAGTTAGAGTATGAAACACGTTACAGTCTATTTGCTATATGCTGATTGATAAATGAAAGATTAGACACTGATCTTTGGAGTGCCGAGATTACCCGCATTTGTACTTCATGTATTGCCACTTGCAAGCCCCCATGTGCACCCAGTGAGCGGCGTTAAGTGGACCATCCTGGAGCAGCACTGATGGGTGCTTATTTTTCATGTGGTTACAGTGATTGATTCAGAAGGATAAAATAAGATGTAACCTAAATAAAACTTCCAAGGACCAAGTCTATTTGCTAGCTAGACCATACTTCCTTGTAAAAAAATACATGCAGCACATGCTGGATCCCCTTTCATGTCTCATTTAAAACTGAAAGCAGGACTTTTTTTTAACCATGTTTATACTAGTGCAGCAAAGATGTTGGTTTGGGTCAAATCCTTCTCCAACTAATGGGCATTTTTTTGCCAAGGTAGCTGCGCATTGCAGATGGCAGGATGTGTATATATACTTCATTAAATTTTGTGAGGAGTAGCGATGAGTGAAACTGAAGGTTTTTGCTTAACCAAATTTTCTGCAAAATATTGCCATCTTGCCTAAATGCATTGGAATGAACGAGAAAGTCAAGATTAAGGTTGTTTTTGCTGGCGTTTAAGGGGTTTATTTGTTTTTTAATGTCTCCCAAGGGTTAGAAAGTGGACCCTCATTAGCTGGGAATATGACTTTAGATATTGAGAATTAGAGATGGATCTTTTATACAGTGTAAAGTATTTTGCAGCTCAGTTGCTGGCAAATTTGTTATTTTTAACGGATGGAGATATACCTTTAATACTTAGAACACAATATTATCACTTAATTTGCCTGGGAACTGGCAAAAGATGCATATGGGACTGCAGACTGACCTTTCATATAATGTTCTTTACCTAACCTCTGGACCTCACCCAGGTTTAAGGACATCAGTTGAGATTGGGAACACTACTTCAGGACCCCCAAGATCAAATTGAATAGAAATTATACAACAATTGGCAGCACGAAAGAGCTGTGGCACAGCCAGCTGTACTACTTCTTTGGAAAAAATGTATAGACCATTGTCAGCAGGAGATATGATATATGAGACTGGTTAGAATACACATTTCATATTTTCACAAGGCAGGCAGGATGGCACAAGCAGCACCTCTAGTTGACCAGCCTAGATTCAGACACAAACTAATTTTTTAAAGGCCAGTCTCTGGGCAAGTAGAAATGTGTCAGGAGAATATCATAAGACAAGAGGCTGTAGTTTACACTTTGATAAGAACAAAAAAGATAGTAGACAGCAGGACTATTTGTCTTTTTGATGCCCTTAAATGTACGTATCTACTAACAACTTACCTTTTTCCTGCAGGTATTATCTTGGTTGCAATCAATCCTTATAAAGAAATTCCAATATACGGAGATGCAATTATCCATGCATACAGTGGGCAAAATATGGGCGACATGGACCCACATATATTTGCAGTTGCAGAAGAGGCATACAAGCAGATGGCCAGGTATCTGTGGGACACCTGGAATGTTTAATGTTTTTGATCCTAAGAAGATTTCTTTTACACTTCACCCTGTAATTCACTATATATTGTGTGTGTGCGTGTGTACAGTATCTCACAGAAGTGAGTACACCCCTCACATTTTTGTAAATATTTTATTATATCATTTCATGTGACGACACAGATACACTTTGCTACAATGTAAAGTAGTGAGTGTACAGCTTGTATATCAGTGTACATTTGCTGTCCCCTCAAAATAACTCAACACAGCCATTAATGTCTAAACCGCTGGCAACAAAAGTGAGTACACCCCAAGTGAAAATGTCCAAATTGGGCCCAATTAGCCATTTTCCCTCCCCGGTGTTATGTGACTCATTAGTTACAAGGTTTCAGGTGTGAATGGGGAGCAGGTGTGTTAAATTTGGTGTTGCCACTCTCACTCTCTCATACTGGTCACTGGAAGTTCAACATGGCACCTCATGGCAAAGAACTCTGCGGATCTGAAAAAAAGAGTTGTTGCTCTACATAAAGATGGCCTAGGCTATAAGAAGATTACCAAGACCCTGAAACTGAGCTGCAGCATGGTGGCCAAGACCATACAGCCGTTTAACAGGACAGGTTCCAATCAGAACAGGCCTCGCCATGGTCGACCAAAGAAGTTGAGTGCACGCAGATTAGACATTAAATGGCTGTGTGTTGAGTTATTTTGAGGGGACAGCAAATGTACACTGATATACAAGCTGTACACTCACTACTGTACATTGTAGCAAAGTGTAATTTCTTCAGTGTCGTCACATGAAATGATATAATAAAATATTTACAAAAATGTGAGGGGTGTACTCACTTCTGTGAGATACTGTATGTGTGAGAACCTATAGGTTATGAACACCGACACCAAAACTATGCCTGGGGATTTAGTTAATCTACTGCTCTCTATAAACAGCAGTTGGACTATTGTTGTTTTCAAAGAGGCTGCAGAATACAGACTCAAGATCTTCCATTTAAGTTATAATTAGGGATGTCCCGATGCCACTTTTTCATCCGGAGACTGCCAGATGACCCCGCTCGGAGCGCCGCCCACCGGAGCAGCAGTGACGCGACGCTCGGCGAGGTAAGTAAGAAGAAAAAAAAAAAAACATAGCGCAAGTACTTGTCAAAATGCCCTGTATCGGGCCCGATTCCAATGCTAGCATCGGTATCGGGACATCCCTAGTTATAATATATATTTGCCAGCAGATAGACTGATTATAATAAGGGTGGTAAGGACCCCAAACTTTTGGGGTCCCATGGGAATAATAAAAAATGACCGCGCTTCAAAGATTTTCAAAATCAGTTTTGGCTATGCAAGACTTCAGACTTGTTTTTGGAAGGTGATAAGCAATGGTGGCTCTTATTGTAGGTTTTTGTTTTCAAGATTTTAAAACTATCATATGCAATATGTATGTGTGCTCCCAATAAAGCTGCATAAGATCCAATTCAAACATTCCAGAAATGTTCCATAAACCCAGCAAAACACAAATATCTATGTACATAGACCCTAATGCTTGATCTGCCGGAACTGGTGGGGGACTGATTCATTGAAAAGCGATCTGGGTCCCCAGTAGAATTTTCTGGAAATTATTTGTAATAAGCAAACGGGACCCTTATCTTAATGAAAGTATATTTTACTATTGCCTTACCTGCTTAATTACGAATATTAATGGTTGTCTTCAACTCTGCAAGAAAAAACATTTCAATGTGTTAATTATATTAATATTTCTCAGTCACGCAGTATTAGTCAATTATAACTCCAACCTAACTTTTTTTTCATCTAGTTGTGGATAGAGTAGAGAGATGTAAGAACCTTGTGAAGTTTGTATTGCTTATTTTTTTATGAATTTCATCCAATGACCAGGAATAATAGGAACCAGTCCATTATTGTTAGTGGAGAATCTGGAGCTGGAAAGACAGTTTCAGCAAGATATGCTATGCGCTACTTTGCCACAGTGAGTAAATCAAGCAGTAAGGCTAATATGGAGGACAGAGTACTGGCATCCAACCCAATTACAGAGGTAATTTGACACAACACTGAATATGTTATACGACATATATTATTATATTAGTACATTCCTATTTTTTAAATGTACTTGCATTTTTGGGCTATATAACATTATAGGATATTTAAAGTGTTAAAGTGTATATTACCCCAAAGTGTTATATTTTTGATATGTGTGTGGGGTTATGTACGCACACCCACCACAAAAGGAGAGACCAGTTCACGTCTGTCTCTGCCTTTTACACAGGGGGTACGACACGTCTATATGCTGCTCAGGCTGGCCCATCCCTGCACTGTTTGAGTGACAGCAACTGGGATGTATGGCGCTGGTAAATTGGCCGATTGGCGAGTCATGTGACCGCTTGTAAACAAAGAAAAAAAAGGTATTAACAAAGTGGTTTGCTTTATATTACTATTTAAAACTGCGTGGGCTGTTTAGCAATCTAATTTACACTTAAATATATTGTGAGGATTCGCTCCAAACGGTACCACATTAAGGACACCGCCACTCGCTCTTCAGTTTTTAAGGGCTTCTTTGCCCACTTTTATTAATGCACAACTCAAAAGAAAAGTCCACACAGGCGTTCCCTCGCAGGGGTTTTCAAACATAAAGAACCATTTTCTGTCAAACGCTCATTATTCAGTCTTACCGACTTCAGGTGGTTCCGTTACCTCAAAACTTCTGGCCACACAGGCGGATTGCCACTCAGGCTGTCTGCTCCCCAGACACACAGGCTGGTTCTAGGGTGGGGCTCCTCACTTAGGAGGCTGGGACTTCTTGTAGAGGCCCTAACAAGCCAGCTAGCTTCATCTGGGCTTGTTACCTCCAAGCCTCCAGCCCTCTCAACACTTTCCCCCTAGAGGAATAACTCCCTTCATACAATTGAATACAGACATCCCCATCTGCCTGCTGCCACAATATTTTAAAAAATCATTTTTTTTGGCTAGTGGGTGTTGAGTTAATTTAGACTCAATAGGCTTTATAGGCTTAGCATAGTTTTTGCACCCAGAAAAAAAAAAAATTTACTAGCATATTTCTGTTTTTGCCAGTTCTCAGTGAATGCACTATATGTTTTGGTGCGGTCATGTTTCTGTAGCCAATTATAATTAAAATATCCAACATGGACTTGGAACTGCAAATTTGAATTGAAATCGTAGCTCACGTAGAAGCCATGGTTTCCCATACATATCTTTAGATATTGTGTACTTATACTGTAAAATAATGTTTTCCGTTTGTCAAAGTGGCTCGTTAGGAAAATGTTTTCCTTAAAGCCTAAATCTTTAAATGTATTTGTTCTTTTTATCATAGGCTATAGGAAATGCAAAAACCACACGAAATGATAACAGTAGTCGATTTGGAAAATACACTGAAATTAGTTTTGACAGAAGATACCAAATAATTGGTGCGAATCTCAGAACATATCTTTTGGAGAAGTCCAGAGTAGTGTTTCAGGTGACAACAATAGAAAATATTAAAATATATATGTTATGCTCTGAATTTTAGTTTATGTTGATTTTAAAGTCTATTTTCTTTTTTTAGTCTGAAAATGAAAGGAATTATCACATATTTTATCAGCTCTGTGCATCAGCTTCCCTGCCTGAATTCAAGAACCTTCATTTGAGTATGTATAAAAATCAGCAAATTACATGCTTTTGAAAATGGGCTCCGGGAAAAACTGAGAAACTAGTAGAAATGTAACCCCGCAAGAAAATTGTTTCATTTCGTATTGATTTCGATTTTTATTTGTCTAGATTTTTGGATTTAGGATCCGAAATTTGATTCGGTTCATTATTCGGATTTCTGATCCATCCGAAGTTTCATTCCGGAACAGTCAAATTTTTTTGTTTTAGAAGGAAGTCACCTATAAAGCAACCCCTAACAGCCAAAAAAATAAAAAAATTTGATTGGCCAAAGTACAGTCACATGTCCAATTTAGTTTGGTTTTAAATGAAGTCTGGTCAGATCCGAATTTCGTTAAACGGACATTCAGATTCGTTCACATTTCGGGCGCATTCAAATTCGGAATTTCAGATGCATCCGAATTTACAAATTTAATGAAATTCGTATGAATATCCATTCAGAACTAAACAACATTTGCATGTCTAGAAACTAGTATTTTAATACATATTGACAGGACTTATACCTGTTACCTAGTGTCCCTAATGTATGCTGTGGCTGTGCCCAATTCCTCCTAGCTGCCACAGTCAGGTAATCCCTACTTCTGATTGGCCCTTTTCAAACAGGAAAAGGTGCAAAGGAGCATGGAAGGGAGCAGAAAAATGGTATACAAGGAATTTTTAGGAAAGTGACTCCTTAGAAGTTTCAAATGATACCGTAAGCTACTTTAACTATTAAAAGAAAAAATATATACCAAAAAGTAGGTACCACAATATGCCCACCACTGTCTTTATTAACCAGAAAACCTCCTTCTGTGTACCTCTATGGTTCAGTTTTACTTTGCCTGCTTTTAGAACCAACTGTCAGTCCCCTGTTCACTGAGATTGCCTTACTGCCCAATGAGAACACTTTCATAGGACAAGGAAATAACAGCTGCTGGGACTTAGCTTAGAGGTCAGGCCCCATGTAACAAAAGCGCTTAGAGAAAGGAATAGAGAAATAGGAATTTCTGGCTAGTAATTGTAATGCAAGAATCTTGTTCTAACCACTCTTATGTAGTACGTTATTTTTAAGACCTCATACACATAGAAATGAAAATACATGAGTCCGGGTGCATTTGGAGCTCAATTCTAAACACACCTGTGATGCTTTGCAGCGTCTAGGTGCATTCAGTTTAGCTCAGTTTAAACAAACAAGAATTTGCTGCGTCCAGGGGCCGTTTAGCTTAGTTTTACACAGCTAAACGCACCGAAACATGTGTAAATGCGTGTAAACACGGCTAAACGTGTCTAAATGCAGCTAAGCCCAGAAACAGCTAAACAAAGCAAAAAGTAATCTGGGAAGCATAAAAGTTGTTTATATTTCCCGGAAAACTTCTCTTGTGTTTAACGCAAAGCGGCCTGTGTGCATGAGGTGTAAGACCTTAAACTACAATTTATACTTCTGTCAGGATTTGTTCCACTAATAATTATTTGCATTGATGTTTTACATATGTATTTATGTATTGTACTTCTAGCGAGTGCAGACAACTTCAACTACACAAGTATGAGCGGCTGTATAGAAATTGATGGTGTCAATGACAGAAAAGACATGATAGACACACAAAAAACATTTCACTTACTAGGTAAGAATGTAAAAAAAATTAGATGCATTAAATGAAAACTGGTTTGTAGCTTCAGTAGCATAGTAATGAAAATTAATATCACCCAAAATTCAAGAATCAAGCAACTTTTGTACATGTTGCATACACAGAAAGGACTAGACAATGATCATCTTGAAGAAATACTTGAAGGATTTACAGCTATGAAAGCCATAAAGCAAGCTTATCTGCTACCTTTCTGTTTGTCATCATTTTCCAATTTAAACCTATCAAGTTAGAGCATGAAGCCAATTAAATAGCTGATCTTATTGGTGTAAGCAGAGAGGGTTGATAGTGTTCCAACTTTTTTGTTATCTAGCTTCCTGTTTGTTACTGTGACCATTTATTTATAATATAAATGTTGTTGTTTCTTATTTTTTTCTATGTTCATATTACTTTTGATTTTATTACTTGAAGAACTTATGACTTTTTGGTAATTTCATGGATTTATGTGGACAGTTTTTTTCCCAGTAAAACAAAGTAAGAATGTTATTTGTTACCAGATTAACCTAGATTCCCTTCTTTCTTTGTGGCAATTGGCACAATGTTTAGGTTTCAATGTTGACTTTCAGATGGATGTCTTCAAGGTTCTAGCGGCTATCTTGCATCTGGGAAACATACAGATCAAGCGAGTTAATGATGACAAGTCATCAGTCAATGTAAGAAATCCAAGCTATTGTAAATTAAAGTACTGCTACTAATCCAATAATAAACTTTTGCTTGGCCTATGAAACATTTCTCAGTTAAAAAAATATCAGATAAAGTGACAGGTTGGATTTTGGCAACAAGTGTTTTTATATCCAGGATAGATGAAGAAAGTTGGTTTTATTTGTTCTTGTAGCTTTATATGGAGAAGCTACCTCCACTTTACATGTTATATTTTCTGCTGTTTCATTATAAATCCAGTACCCCATTCACGGAGGTGTGGGTTTTTAAATATTACACTTCCATAAAACTTTGTGGTGCGCCCCATTTTAAGTTTTCCAGTGGACAGGTTCTCCTATCTGGGTTGTAGATCTCAACCAGCAACTTCAGAGTTACCATTGGTTTATGTTTCTGTCACTGGGTCACTGAGATGGGTGGCCCCATGCATGCAGGCTTGCGGTTATGCTATTATGTTTGCATTTTTTTAAATAATGGATATTTTTTATAACCCAACCCTAATAGGCATTTCAACCATACTATATCCAAGATTGCTCAATTGCCTTTAACAAAAACTTTGTTTAGATATTTTCTCCAATGAAATCCAGGGCCTTCCAGAAAAAGGCGTGTCTATTTTAGCATCATGTGAGACTTAAATAGCAGACAGTTGGACTCAATTCATGTACTCTTTTGCTTCTGAAGGCAGTTGGTAGTAGCAGAGTTTATATAAAAATGGAAAGACAAAAGAGCGCCACGACCTACTGCAATGACAGATGGCAGGGGGATGAAATGGCAAAAGGTGGCGTGTTGCACTCACAATGTGACAGAGTGTAATGCTCTTTTCTCTGATGAATCCTTGGTCAGTTGAGGTGATCAGTCAAACGAATCAGCACCTCTGGAGATGTTAGCACAGAGAAAAGATGACTGGCGCCCTGATCGTATGACACTGTAAACATATATTAAATAAAATTTGTGCAAATACACTCACAGAAATATGTGGTAAAACGTGCCCATCTGGTGATCTGGTGATGCTGTGGGGGGGGGTCCCAAACCCTGCAGGATGCAGCTGTGGCGGTGTTCTCTCCAGTGTACTGTCTGATCCAGCTGCCACAGAGTGGCAGCTGGATCATGCTGGGTGAAGCAAGTGCTCATGCAGTGGTCATTAAAAGGCAGGACGGCAGTTGGATGTACTTATGTGAGGAGGATGGAGCCTCACGCTGGACAGCCTTGCAGAGCGGTAGCTAGAAGGTGTTGAAAGAAGGCAGGAGCCAGCTCACAGCTGGTCTTGAGAGAGCAGCGGGGCATCAGTTGAAAGATGCTTGTGGAGAGGTGGGGTGGGAGCTGCACGCTGGCTAATTGGGCAAAGCAGCAGCTGGAAGGTGCTCTGTGGAGGGGAAAACAGGGGATACTGTGCGGGAGCAATGAGATGGGGAGAGCAGAGAACAATAGCGGTGTGGAATGGTGCAGGTGTAAGGGGAAGTGGAGGCAACGCGTTTCAAGCATATTTATTCCTCTTTCTCAAGCCAGTAAAGGTGTAATTTTTTTTTGTTTTTTTTCATTACACCTTTACTGGCTTGAGAAAGAAGACCTTGGTAATGAAATAGATGCAACAACGGGTCACTTATATGGGCAGTGAGCTGCATCAGGCATTTTCATATAATGCTGTCATTCACAAACAGCAATTCTGAGTAACGTTCGGGCCATGGATGGTCCAAATTGCCACGTATGCTTTCCTAAGCATTCTGGTGTCCACTAGACAAATAGCTGTGTTCATTTTGAAATGTTGGGAAATAAGATTTTTATATTTGATAATTGTTCTTTAAACTTTAGATATCTTTATAAAAAAATTGATGAGTATATCATTGCTTTTGAGAGAAGTCTTGGTGAGAGCAGTGCTGAAACAATATCAGTGCATGCACCTGTTATTTGATTTGGGTTTTAATTCTGAATAATCAATGTAGCTGTTATTGCCATCATTGCTATAGGTACATCCCACTTTCTACATTTTAAGGAATTTACTCCAACTGCTGTTCACTTACCTTTGTAGAAAAGTGACAAGCATCTGCAGATATTTTGTGAACTGCTGGACCTCGACCCAGAAAAAGTGGCACTATGGCTTTGTAATCGGAAAATAGCCACAACATCAGACACCGTCATCAAGCCCATGACAAAACATCAGGCTGAATATGGCAAGGATGCTCTGGCTAAGAAGATCTATTCTCATCTCTTTGACTTTTTAATTGAAAAAATCAATAAAGCCCTAAGGTTCCCAGGAAAACAGCATACATTTATTGGAGTGCTTGATATCTATGGGTAAATATAGCTTATTGTTTTCTTCCTATCGACATAACCTTTTCAAGTTTTATTGAGCTCATTAATTAAGTTATATTGGGGAAACTATTTTATTTTATTCAGATTTCTGTGTACTCAAATCAGTGCAAAATCTAAACAGGATATTTTGTTACTGAGACTCTTTAGGGGGGAAAGTTCCTGAAGTAGGTGTTTCAGTAGGTCCTTGCCTCTTTTCATTTATTTATTATATACGTATAACTGGTATTTTTATAGCGCCAACAATTTACGCAGCTCTTTACAGAGTTGCACTTTCACATCAGTCACTGAACTCAAGGAGCTTACAATCTAAGGTCCCTATCTCACATGCGCACAGAGCTGATTTAGACAGGAGCCAAACATGTCTTTAGTATGTCTTCCACCCACTACTGATTTGCTTTTGCTGGGTTTTGTAGTCCTCTATAGCCGGTGCCATTCTGCATGCATTGCTGTATAATTTTACACTTTCCATTTCACTATATTGCACACCACACTATCTTTTTTCTTTTTTACTTCCACCGCTCCAAGCTTGCTCCTGTGATGGACTACAACCTCAATACAAACTAGTAGTCCTATCAATGGAGCCATTTTTTAAACTTTATTTTATTGTTTATCCGATTAACCGATTAATCGAACCTAATAATCGGCTAACTAATCGATTTTGAAAATAATCGTTAGCTGCAGCTCTAATGGTGTCTCAGCCAAACTGCCTGACACAATTATAGTCGAGCTGCAAACAAACAGCTAAATACAAAGTTAAAGGAAAGATTTAATTATACTTTAATAAATGCATAACATGCATAACATGAAAACAGAACTCCAGTTACAAAAAGTTATAGTCTAGCTATAGAAAAAAATTAAACAAAAACACTTTCTTTTCATCCAGAGCTGTCCCTCACAGCAATTCCTTTCTGCCAATCTCATACAACCCACTTCCTCTGAGCCCAGGCTGCCATGGACCTGCCCCCTGGGCTGGGCACTACCGTACTAAAGGATCTGTGATGTCACCAGACCAGTTTGAAGACTTAAGGAAAACATTTATAAATAATTTGCTTAAAAAAAGGGCACTGGGGGTAATTGTTAACCAAGAGTTCTGTTGTGAAGCTCGGCACACCCATTACAGTCTGATTGTGCAATCTCCTTTAGATCTACCTAAGTATGTTGTGCCAGAACCTGCCTGACTGCATATACATTGATAGGATAGATTAGGTAGGTTCTCATATTGCATAGTTCTGGTAGATCTAAATTTGATTGTATAGAGATTGTATGGCCAGATTGTATCATATATGGTGAGCTTAAATGTTTGTGCCAGCTATTGCTAAACCTAAAGATATTTAGGACTTGCTATATTTTTCTTGAAGACATTTCGCTGGTCATCCAACCAGCTTTCTCAATTCAGAATGACGTGTACAAAAACTATCTGTGAATGTTGTGCCAAGCCACATAATCTGTTAGTCACAACCAGGTGTTGATTGCATTTGCATAATTGGAGCTAGGAGGTGTTATTAACCTGCCCAGAGAGAGGTGTTAAAACAGCATTGCATGTGGCAGACAATAGATGTCTCACCCCCCACCTCTATAAATATTTATTTTTGTGTTGGCGTTCCTGTCCTGGTGACGGCTGCACCACGACCTATAAAGGCATCATGGGGACAGGATATGAGGGAAAATCTCCCCAGTACAGTCACAAACAGAAAAAAGAACCTTATAGAAATGTTAACTCTTCCGCACACTACACAACACTACAAATTAGGGTTTAATGTATTAAAACATAAATCTCTTCAATGCAGGTTTGAAACATTTGAAGTCAATAGTTTTGAACAGTTCTGCATCAATTATGCAAATGAGAAACTACAACAACAGTTCAACTTGGTAAGTACTCAAAGAGCAATGTCAAATGCAGTAAACCATAGAGACCAATTAGTTATCACTTCCTGATATTCTTACTTCACTTAAAAGGAGATCATAATAATTGTGGTCAGTTTCATGTTCGTTTTTAAAGTTTGCAAAATTGTAAACTGTTAATATATTTTTTTTATTGTGCATGTAAAATCTTTGTTTTAAACAAACCTTTAATACTGGAAGCACCTAGCACACTGGTTTCTGCAAAGCATTCTGGGGGTAATAGAAATGGAATTATAATATTTTTTTAAAATTCAATTTGATTTGAAAGTTTTTGAGTTTTATACGGATGTTCTGTTTTACCTATTTATATAACAATCTTTGTTTTACAAATAAACATTTAGGGTTCACTCATGACAGTTCAGTGTTTCTAAAGGGAGAGCACAGCAGAAGCTGCTTGTTTACAGATTCCCTTTTTCTTATTGAAACTTTGTAGGAACATCTGAACAGGCAGACAGGGACAGGGATGAGTTAGATAATCTGTCAGTTGTGGAAATTTAACTTCAGCTGTTGAGCTCTATAATAAATAGGCTTTTTACAGTGAAGGAAATGAGGTTAGCCTGTAAAACAATGTGAGCTCCACTCAGGGCCGAAAGAAGGGTGAGGCGAGTGAGGCACTCTCCTCGGGCGCAGCTGCGAGGGGGCGTAGCCAGGGCCAGACCTGCTGGACCTAGTGCCCTGCGGGGGTAAGAGGTAGGTGGGTGCTTTGGGATTTGGATGCAGTGCTGTTCGCCTCAAATTACCATCTCACTCACGTGCAGCTCTGCCATGTTACATAGTTACATAGTATTTGAGGTTGAATAAAGACACAAGTCCCTCAAGTCCAAACTATTGCGTTTATGCATTTCTGTTTGAGCAGGTGTGTGCGTGTGTGATTTTGCTCTTAAGAGTACTTGTACCCCTTTATGTTATGGTCTCCAAGGAACTCGTCCAGGAGTTCCTTGAATGATTCCACACTCTTAGCTGAAATCACTTCCTGCGGCAGAGAGTTCCAGACCCTAACCGCTCTAACTGTGAAGAACCCCCTGCGATCCATGTGTATAATTTTTTTTCTACCAATTGTGGTGGTGCCCTCTGGTCTTTGTTATGGAGCTAACCGTAAATTGTTTGTTAATAATGTTGCTGTCGCCGTTGAACAGTTTATACAAGAAAATCATGCCCCCCCTTAATCTCCTAACCTCCAAAGAGAACATATCTAATTTTAACAACCTTGTTTCATAGTTCAGGTCTTCGAACCCCTTAATGAATTTGATTGGATTTTTTCCAGCTCAAGGACATCTTTTCTGAGTATCGGTTACCAAAACTGGACCGCATATTTGAGATATTGCCGACCCAGTGATCTGTAAAGTGGCAAAATTATAGACTGATCCCTGCAATAGATTCCCTTCTTAATGCAAGACAGGAGTCTACTTGCTTTGTTTACAGCAGTCTGGCACTGCGAGCTGTTCTTCAGTCTGCGGTCTATAATGACCCCCAAATCCTTCTCCGTTTCCGACTTCCCTACTGGCACACCCATAAGTGTGTCCATTTGCCTATTTTTAACTCCAAAGCGCATTACCTTGCATTTATCGACATTGAACTTCATCTGCCATACAGTTGCCCATTCCCCGAGTTTATCCAGGTCCTCATGTAATGTTACAATGTCTAAATCCGTGTCTATTACCCTCCCAATTTTTGTATCATCAGCAAACACTGAGACATGGCTACTCAATCCCTTCCCGATATCATTAATAAACAGGTTAAAAATCATGGGGCCCAGCACAGAACCCTGGGGCACGCCACTGACTTCAGCCCAGTCTGAAAAGGTGCCATTTATCGATACTCTTTGTACACGTTCCTTTAGCCAGTTTTCTATCTACGTGCACACTAATTCATCTATGCCAATAGCCCTTAGCTTGTATAACAAGTGTTTATGTGGCACCGTATCAAATGCTTTGGCAAAGTCCAGATATACTACGTCCACCGTCCTCCCTCCATCCAGATCTCTACTCACCTCTTTGTAAAACGTTAGCAGGTTGGTCTGGCAAGAACGATCCTTCCTAAATCCATGCTGGTTATCGGTTATTATTAGGGCTGCGGAAATTAACGATTAATTTCTCGATCAATCGTTAAACTTTTTGATCGATTAAAATTATTTTGATCGCTAATGAAAACACTCACCTCTCCGCCGGCTTCCGGGAGTCCCTTTGACGTAACGGACATCGATGTCATTTACACATACAGCACAGCAATGAAGTAATAAAATGAACTAGGATCACACTAATCCAGCACGTTATTAATCTCACGTGCCCCACTCAGGCGGCGGCAACATTGAGTGGGGCACGTGGGATTAATGATGTGCTGGATTAGTGTTATCCTAGTTCATTGTATTACTTCATTGCTGTGCTGTATGTTTATAGGCCAATGTAGTTGTATCTGTATGTGCGTTATAATTAATCAACATTAATCGATTCATCGATTTAAAAACATTCGATTAATCGAACACGAAAATTTTAATTAGTACCAGCCCTAGTTATTATGCCATGATCCCGGACGAATTCCACTAAGTAGTCCTTAATAATTCCGTTTAACAGTTTACATATTATGCATGTCAGACTAGCTGGTCTATAGTTCCCCGGTTGGCATTTTGACCCTTTTTTGAATATAGGTACCACATTAGCCTTTCGCCAGTCGCTTGGCACTCTGCCAGCCATTACGGATTCCTTAAAAATGAGGAATAATGGTCTCGTTATCTCCTTGTTGACTACCTTGGGATGTAGATTATCAAGTCCTAATGCTTTATTTGCATTTAGTAGTTTAAGCCTATGTTGTATCCCAGTTTCAGTCAACCACTCAGGTGTATTTCTTGTTACATTTTGTGTTTTATCATGTACATTAAACCCGTCTTTTTCCTTGTTGAATACCGACGAGAAAAAAGTATTTAGCGCCTCCGCCCTTTCCCTGACGTCTGTGACTAACCTCCCATTTTTGTCCTTTATTGGGCCAAACTCCTTTTGGGAGAAAATGTGCTGTTAACAGACGAAACAAAATTACAGCTTTTTGGTAAAGCCCATCATTCCACTGTTTTCAGAAAGAGAAGACAACACAGTCCCTACAGTCACACGTGGTGGGGGGTCACTGATGTTTTGCTGCTTCAGGCACTGGATGTCTTGACTATGTGTATGGCATTATGAAATCTGAAGACTACCAAAGAATTCTAGGGTGCAATGTAGGGCCCAGTGTCAGAAAGTTGGGTCTCTGTCAGAGGTCATGGGTTCTACAGCAGGACAATGACCCAAAGCACACATCAAAAAGCACCCAGAATTTATTTCAGACAAAGCGCTGGAGAATACTGGACTGGCCAGCAATGAGTTGGGAAAAGGAACTTCCAATCTGAGAGACCTGGAGCAGTTGGTGAAAGAAGAGCGGTCCAAAACTCCTGCAGAGAGGTGCAAGAACCTCATTGATAGTTACAGGAAGCGATTGATTTCAGTTATTTTTTCACAAGGGCTGTGCTACCAAATATTAATTGAGGGTGCCAATAATTTAGTCCAGTCTATTTTTTGGCGTTTTGCTTGGACTGCATTAGTTTGCCTTTTTTTTCTCCACTTTTTTGTGTCATACCAATACAATCAAAAGAAATAAACATGAGAAGGCCTAAACATTTTTAAATGCAACAATTTTCTGCGCAAAGTGGTGCATTATCTGACAGAAATGCAGGGGTGCCAATATTTTTGACCATGACTGTAAGTGCAAATGCACTGATCTGGATCACAAAAGGAATGTCAATGCTAATGCATTGGGAGTATTTTCTGCCATAGCCTGCTCTATCCCCATGACCCCTTAAAAAATCAATTTTACTTCTCTTTGCTCTGTCCCCATCAGCCTGTAGTGCGTGGGGCTGTTGGTTCCCTCTTACAGCTCTGCTCTCTGCACAGGCTGTGCACAGCACAGAGATGATGTCACCACTACTTTTACAAGGTAACACCTGTGATTGCAAAGCCAATCTGTGCACACAAAGTAGATTTATATCCTTGGTGACTACTGAGGAATATATTTAAATTAAAGTTGTTGTGCCTGCAGTTCAGCTTTAATGTGACAAGCAAATTACTAGCAGTGAGCTGTGTTAATGAATTATAGTGTCTTTAATTTCTGGAAGAAATTATAAAACCCTGCTTTTGTCATTACATGCCCTGTTTACTTAAGGGAGTATAACTTCCTGATAGCTGAGATCAACTGAAAAATATTTCATTCTTCAGATACCAAGAACAGTTGAAAAACAGGTTGAGTGGGTTAAGTATAAGCACTATCCTGCTATGGCACCATATTACTTTACACCTCAGTACAGAGCCGTAGCTAGCTCCTTTTGCACCCGAGGCAAGAACAGAAAATTGTGCCCCCCCAACAGACGGGTGATGTCACCCAACGCCGCACACGTGTAGCATCATGTGACGTCATGCGCCCCCGCCTTCATGCGGAGGAGAGCAGCGGGGATCCGAGGAGAAGCTGGAGCCTGTGCCGCTCCTCCCTGCCGAGCTGTGGCTGCATGGTGCCCCTGTTCCCATGGCGCCCTGTGCTTGCCATGGCAACAGAGGCGAGGGGGCGCAGCCAGGCCGGCCCTGGCTGTACCACCTCTCATCAGCGCCTGAGGCGAGTGCCTCACTCGCCCCATGGTAGCTACAGCCCTGCCTCAGTACCAGTAATTACCTAATGGCTTTACTTTTATAGCTCAGGCATAAGGGAAGACCTGGATTCCAACTTATTTATAGTCAAACATGCAGTTTAAGAGTATATATATATTATACAGCCAGAGAGTGCCATATAATGTAGGACAAGATCCAGCCATATAACACAGTAGAAGCTTGTTCATGTAAGCATTTTTTATAGCATATCTGTCATGTGAAGTAAGATCAGAGTTGAAACCTCAATCCTTAAATATTGATTACTGCCCACTGTAGTATTACAACTGTTTTTTACATGGCTGTATTAAATAGGATCAGTAGGAACTTATAAACATGATAGTGTGATGGGTATATGCAAATGTAATACATTAGATATATTATTATTATTATTATTATTACATAGGATTTATATAGCGGCAACAGTTTGCGCAGCGCTTTACAATATAAGGAAGATATTATAATCACAATACAATTCAAGACAAGATGGTAAGGAGGGCCCTGTCCCTGAGAGCTTGCTATCTATAAGGAAGGGAGAAGTGATACATGAGGAGGTAGGTGTGTGGGGATAAATTGTTTGAGAACGTGATGGTTCAGTAGTTAGGTTGAGGCGGCATAGGCTTTCCTAAAGAGATGAGTCTTTAGGGAATGCCTAAAGGCAGTCAAGGTGGGAGATAGACGGATAGGTTGAGGTAAAGAGTTCCAGAGAATTGGAGAGACTCTGAAGAAGTCCTGGAGGCGAGCATGGGAGGAGTTGACAAGGGAGCTGGATAGCAGGAGGTCTTGGGATGAGCAGAGAGGATGGTCAGGGTGATATTTTGAGACAAGGTTTGAGATATAGCCGGGGGCAGAGTTCTGGATGGCTTTGTAAGTGTTAATAGACACTGAGCGGTTGGTCAGGTGGATGAGTCTAGCAGCTGCATTCATGATAGACTGAAGGGGGATATCCTGTGTAATGGTAGGCCAATGAGGAGGGAGTTGCAATAGTCAAGACGAGATATAATAAGGGAGTGGATGAGTAATTTTGCGGTTCCATTGGTGAGGAAGGGGCGTATTTTGGAGATGTTACAAAGGTGAAGGCGGCAAGATTTGGATAGTGATTGGATATGGAGAAGAAAGGTGAGGTTCCAGTCCAGGATGACACCTAGGACCTTGGCATGAGGGCAGGGATGGATAATTGTGTTATCAATCTCAACTGAAATGTTGGTGGAAGGTGCACGGGCAGGAGGAAATATCAAGAGCTTAGTTTTTGAAAGGTTGAGTTTTAAGAAGCGTTGTGACATCCAGACCGATATGTCAGTTAGTAGATTAGTGGCATGTAAGGACACAGAGGGGGTGAGTTGTGGAGTAGAAAGATAGATTAGAGTGTCATCGGCATACAGATGTTATTGGTACCATGTGACGATATTAACTGACCAAGGGAGGAAGTGTAGATGGAGAAGAGGAGGGGTCCAAGGACAGAGCCTTGAGGGACCCCTACAGAAAGAGGAAGAGGAGGGGAGGAGTTAGATGTGTAGGTGACACTTAAGGAGCGCATAGCTAGGTAGGAGGAGAACCATGAGAGAGCAGAGTCTTGTAGGCCAAGCGATAGGAGTTTTTTGAGGAGCAGTGGGTGGTCAACAGTGTCAAAAGCAGCAGAAAGGTCTAATAGCAAGAGTAAGGAGTAGTGGCTGTTGTATTTAGCAGTTAGTAGGTCATTGGTGAGTTTTAGGAGGGCGGTTTTAGTGGAGTGTATGGGGCGAAAGCCAGACTGAAACGGGTCCAAAAGGTTGTTATTAGCAAGGTGGCGACTCAGGCAGTTGTAGATAATGCGTTCTAGTAGTTTAGAGGTGAATGGGAGTAAGGAGATAGGGTCCAGTGAGGGTTTTTTGGTATTGGGGTGACTAGTGCATGTTTCAGAGGGGAAGGAAAGATGCCTGTAGAGAGTGAAAAATTGAAAATGTGAGTAAGAGAGTGTAGGATAGAGCAAGAGGGTGGCCGAAGTAGTGGGGAGGGAACAGGGTCCTGGGGGCAAGTGGTGAGGTGGGTGTCAGAGAGAAGCTTTGCAACCTCCTCTGTGGTGACTGTGTCAAAAGAGGAAAGTAACAAGTGTGATGGTGGGTCTGGTACATTAATAGGGGAAGTTGATTGTACAGTGGTGATCTGATCCCGAATTGTATCTATTTTGTTTTTGAAATGAATGGCAATGTCCTTTGCAGTGAGTGAGTTAGTGGGTGGTGGCGGTGGGGGACATAGTAGAGACTTGAAAGTAGAAAATAGTTGACGAGGTTTGGATGAGAGTGTGTTAATGAGAGTGACAAAATAAGTTTGTTTGGCAGCACTGAGGGAGGAATTATATTTTAGGAGGGCAGCTTTATACAGTGTGCCAACCAATAAGACTTCAGCTTATTTATACATGTCAACCAATAAGACTTCAGCTGTCATCAGTGTATATAGTCAACAGAAGTGTGCTTTTAAAAGGTTTGGCATAATTTAAGAGGTTGACATCATTTTGAGCATACACTGCCATCATTCAACACTAGCAGAACTGTCTTTAGCATGCAGAACTCATGTTTCTCTGCAAGTATTTGATGACCCACGCCTACAAATGGAATACATTGGTATCCTTGCTGAGCAGAGGGATATGTATAGAGACCCACAACCATGGCAGGTGGGTGGAAATAGCTATAGGAAAGAATAATGATTTCCGATTGGTTGCATGTGTGTTACGGATCTTAGCACATTGCTGTTTATCATCTTGAATAAAAAATTTGTCATGGCTTTAAATTCATTTATTCTTTACAAAGCTAAGCTCTATTTTAAATATTTTTCAGCATGTCTTCAAGCTTGAGCAAGAGGAGTACATGAAGGAAGATATTCCTTGGACTCTCATAGACTTTTATGACAATCAGCCAGTCATTGACCTCATCGAAGCAAAGATGGGTATTTTAGAACTACTAGATGAAGAATGCCTGGTAGGTTGTTTTCTAATTATATTAAATTATTTATTTCCTTTTCTGTTTTACTTTTTCTCTGCAATTGTTGCTATTATTGGAGTCCATGACTGAGAGTTTGTATGCTTTGGCCTATCACCCTTTCAATTTTAATCATGTAAGAGCCAACAGAACACAGCTGTGTCTGTTACCCCATAGCACAGTCTATGTTATGTTCTGCCATTTTCCAGTATAGATTTTTGTCTGAATGTTATTAGGCGACTGTCTTTTCTTCATAAATAAAAAAAAAACATTTTTAAATCCATAAATGTATGTGTCCTTGCATGTGAATGCCCAGATTGGAGTTATTCAGCATGAAAATTAACTCGGAGGTGACAGGTTCTCTTTATTGAACCTGTCACCTCAAGGACAGGAGTTCGAGCACAGTTATGTGCTGGAACACCTGTGACAGGTGAGAGAGGAAGAGCACAGCTCTCCCCTCTCACTGTGTACATGGAGCAGAAGGGTTAGTTCTAATCCTGCCGCTCTGATCACCGCTCTCCATCCTGAAGACGGCGGCGGCCAGCGAGCAGAGGACGGGGGCGGCGGGGGGAGGACGGACCGGCAGTCTAATTACAAGTGATCTCGGCGACATCGCCGAGATTACTTGTAAAGAAACAGGTGATTTCTCCTATTCTACATTTAGCTCTGCTTGTGCAAAGCAGAGCTAAATGTAGAAAACAAATTACCGCCCGGCGCCCGGAACTCCATGCTGCCCCTCTGCTCAGTGCCACCCCGAGGCCGGGCCTTGGTGGCCTTGCCGGGAATCCTGCCCTGATTGTAAGCATACCTAATGGAATGAACATCTTGTTGTGGGATATTTTCTTCTAAAAGCAGGTGGCTGGGGCTTCCATGAGCATCAGTTTTTGTGACCATTAGAGTTTATCTATCCTGGTCATCCTGGGATTTGGAGGCTCCCAGGGTGGCCTGCAGCACTGCTGTGAAAAAAAGAAAACACTAACCAGTGCCGGGTACTGGTACATATCAATTGTTTGATTGTTTATTACTTCTCTTGTACTCTATCCAGCTATACTAGGTTCATTACACTGTATTTTACAGTTACCACAAGGCACCGATGAAAACTGGTTGCAAAAACTGTACAACAACTATGTGAATAAGAATCCCTTGTTTGAAAAACCAAGAATGTTCAACAGATCATTCATCATTCAACACTTTGCAGATAAGGTAAACTCATGAAATAAGTATCTATGAGTTTAAGGGGTTTCATATGCCGTTAGATATTGTAGTTAGGTTGCCCAACGTTTCAAGTTTGGGAGAAAATGTAGAAAATAAAATAGATTATATTTGTTAAACAGATTGTTTGCTAATTTTATGGCCTCATTCACACTGCGCTAACTCGGGGCATACACGTCCATGTGGCGTGCACGCCTGTATGGGGCCGTTATGGATCCATCCTGTCTGTGTTCAAGTACGGACACAAGTAAGTACACGGATGTGCAGTTCAGGTATGCGTATGACAGCATATTGCCGTGTTCTTCTGAAGGGAAAAACAAACAAATTACCTCCCGGCGGCTGAAACTCCATGTTCCGGGCATCGGGTGTGCCGCCCCTCTGCTCAGTGCCGCCCCCAAAGGGAAAAAAAAGGCTGCTACACCCAGCACCTATCCCTCCCGGGAACATACCGATACGGCGTGCACACCGCACGGACGTGTACACCCCGAGTTAACACAGTGTGAATGAGGCCTATCTCTGAAAGAAGTCAACAGTGATGCTCTGTAAATGATAAAAACTGCAGTGTAATCTGTTATTGTTAGAGCCTCTGTAAGATTTTTAGTGCAGTTTCTTTTTTTGCTTAGAATTCCCTTCACTTCTTTTCTCATTAAAATTACAGGAGTTAAATCGTAAAAATGCATTCAAGTACCCTATTAACAAAAAATTAGCTTATGTGTGCATCACTCAGCTGTAGATCCTCAAATCGTCTCTGGAATGGTGCTGACACTGTCCTTCCTTCTGGAGAGCGATCCATTATAAGTGTTGTTAAGTTGCCATCGCTCTAAATTCACTGATGGACTACAATTTCTCATTTAGTTTACTTATTTGCATTGAGATTGTAGTCCATTACAGAAGGTGGGCTTGGAGTGGTGGTTACTGTAAAACACACACAGAGACCATGGGGAACAAAAGTAGCCCCCCTCCAGAAGGAAGGACAGTGTCAGCACCAATTCAGAGATGATTTGAGGATCTACAGCTGAGTGATACACACATGAGATACATTTTTGTTAATAATTAGGGAACTTGAATTAATTTTTAAGATTTATCTCCTGAGTTTAGCGTCACTTTTTAACAATGTTATGAGTCAGGAACAGTGTTTTCAAGTTTATCTAAACCTAAATATATATATATTGCTGCTTCCCTGTCCTTAAAGCAGAAGTAAAGTGATTGGAAATAAAAAAAAGAAAAACATGTTGTAATGCTAATGTTTATCATAGTATGTTTTCCTGTCTAAAGCTATGTGTTTGATCTGCACAGGTAGAATATAAATGCGATGGATTTTTGGAGAAAAATCGTGATACAGTATATGAAGTATTGATTGACCTGCTGAAAACTAGTAAGGTTTGTGTGATTTAATTCCTGGTCCTTTTTGTACATTTGCATTGAGAAGCTTGGGAAGCTATAAAAAAACAAATACACAGTTTCTGCGAACAAAAGGAAGGTTGGAGTATCATACATATGATTTTGTGCAGCGAGACTTAGCGTTACCTCCTGCCCACTAGGGGGTGCTATAAGAAACCTTCCAAGTTTAGAAATAATTTGCAGAGGATTACAATAAGCCACTGGATAGTGCAGGGGTTGGCTGACTGGATGTCTATCATGCACCCATTGTACTTCTAGAAGAGCCCTTATTATCATTCCTAATATACAACATTTTCACACTGTGTAAAGCTCTGTTTACCTAATCGAAAAGAAAGACGTTGCCTAGGAGAAAATCATTGGGTAGATTTACAAAATAAAGTAGAGGCAGTTCACCAAACATAGTAAATGTTCACTTTGCAGACTGTTCTGTATATTAGGTTAGGAGATAGTGTGTTCAATTTGAATACCCAATCACATGCAGGAGAAGAAAAAAAAGAATTTTGCTTAGAGATAATTGGATGATTGAAACAATCAGTCAATAATTAAGTGAGTATATACTTTACAAAGCAATATGAACATGCTCTATTTTTTTGGTAAATAAACCCCATTGCGTGTAAAAAAAAAAGGAGCGATATCATTAAAGCCCAGCACTAGGCAACATTTTTGGTTTCAGATATTGAGGAGCTGGGTGGAACCCCTGATGACTTTTTTGTAATCTGTGTCACATTCACAGATTTCACCTCACTTCCTGTCTTGGTGAGAGGGGTCAGAAGAACGGGATGTGATTGGAAATCTCCAATAGGTACAGAGACAGATAGTGGCAATGCTGAAACCTCTGGGATGTTTTTGATGCTGCATGTGTCTTCCTGACCTGGACTTCCCTGTTCCACTCATTTCTTGTTCTGCTCTAACAGAAATATAAAGTGAGGGGAAAAGCACTGTTATCCAGGAAGCTGTTCTAACCCTTGCTTTCCATTATTAAAACAAACAAAATTGTTGGTCAAAGTTGGGCTTTAAATTTCTGTACTTGTTTTTTTGTATACAGGTATTCCTCACTTAACGACCGAGTTCCGTTCCTACGACCAGGTCGTTAAACGGATTGGTGAGGAACTCTATACAGTACTGTACTGCATTAGTACAGTACTGTATAGAGTTGCCAATGTACAGTACCGAACAGTGTACTGTACATCGGGCAATGGAAATACTTACCGGGACCCGCAGTGAAGATCGGAGGACGTCACTTCCGCCAGCGACACGGCGCACTGCCACTGACGCGCAAGGTCGGAGGTCGATCGGCGGTCCGTCGTAAGTGCGAGTGGTCGCAAAACAGGTAAGTCGGTAAGCGAGGAACATCTGTATTTTGTAATATAATTTTACTCCAATTACAGTACAAATGTTTTCCAAAAATGTCAGGTCCCAGTAGGTAAAGATATTCTCTTTTAAATGCTTCAATTAGATAACATAGGAAATATAATAATACATATAAACATTTTTTAGATTTATGTTACCCTGAAAGTTTTTTTTCTGTGGCTTTGTTTTTACAAATTGTTTGTAGCCATTGCCCAAGGTTTGCTTTTTTCTTTTAACAATCCTAGTTCGAGCTGTGTGCCAGCTTTTTTAAAGACAACACAGCCAGCACGCCGCAGTACAGTGCTGCTATCAAGGTGAAGTCTGCAAGACCTGTGATAAAGTCAGCAAACAAAGAGTTCAGGATGACAGTTGGCAGTAAGGTACTGTCTATACAAAACACTCTATTGAATGCTGTAATGTTATCATACTCATTTTCTACTTGTTCTGTAACTAGGAGACTAGGGTTTTAAGCCTTGTGTTCGCTGAGCACTTGAAATGGGAAACAGTGTGAATTCATCTTGTTTCTATATTTATCCAGGGCCACCAGGGCGGTAATCCCCCCCAAGCCCCCCCCGAATCCATGGCCACAGTTTCAGCTATGAGAGCTCATCAGTATTGTGCCCATCCCTCACCACCGTGACCGTTAGCGACAGGTGGAGCACGAGTGTATTTGACAGCACCATGGGAAAAGGCCGCGGTCTCCTCCCGTCCCGACGCCCACGTCCTCGGGGGGCTCCCAGTCTATAACCCTGGGCCATAAACAATGAAGCCACCGATGAGGTGTAAATATGAGCGCCGAGTGGGGTAGTGTACCCCATTGACCCCGTGGCAAAGCATATTGACGGCTCCACCGCCAAATATTGACATCCAGCCCCCTGACAAGCATTACCAAAGTGGACACTCATACCACCTCCCGCCACCCACCCCTAGACCTCGTGTTGAAATACATTACAATACAGATATTGTAATAAGGCCATAAATGGAGGAAAGGATATGAAGGCGTTCACGACTTGGGGTGGTGCAGGTGGCAGTCTGGTGTGTTTCCGAGCCTACCAACTGTAGGAGTCGAGGGGGGCGACCGGAGTAATTAGATAAATCACCGGGGACTCAGCGCAGGGGAATCAAACCTGGTCAGGAAACGGAGGAACCGCGGGCATAGCACTTGCTGGACTCACAGTTCGGGGGCAGCCGGGGCGGGCATCACGGCAGCATGTCGCAGGGATCTGGATCGGGATCTAGCACGGCCCGCCCGGGATGGTCTGGGGGGCAATGAAGCGGCCTACGGCGGTATGTGGCAGTCCTTTTGGGTGTCTCCTGGCTTCGGCTCCTTCGGCATCAGTTGCGGTGCGTGTGGGGGTCAGCTAGCACATCAACCACCCGAGAACGGTGCAGAGCTCCTGTATACAGCGTGCTTACTCCGCCATCGCTAAGCCACGCCCCGTTTCTATATTTTCTATGCAAGGAGCATAGGTAGACATACCTGTATATTCAGTAAGACAGCAAAACTAATGTCAGTTTAAATGCAGTGAGCAACCATGAATATACACATTATAATCTGAATCCCTTAGATTTACCCACAACTATGGAGAGTGGGGGTTCTACATGATTGAATATAATCTGATAATACAATTGCCTTTCGATTTACCACCAACTATGGAGTAGGAGGGTCTATCTTTTTAGTAAATGTAATAGATTGTTTAGATAGGTTCTTGGGCTACATACAGTGGGGCAAAAAAAGTATTTAGTCAGCCACCAATTGTGCAAGTTCTCCCACTTAAAAAGATGAGAGAGGCCTGTAATTGGCATCATAGGTAGACCTCAACTATGAGAGACAAAATGAGAAAACAAATCCAGACAAATCACATTGGCTGATTTGGAACTCCTCCGGAGTATCTTGTTCCCTAATTTGATACTGTCTCAGGATCCAGTGCCTGGAGGAGGGTTGTGGTCCACACAAGTGAAGCTACTTTTTTTGTAGTGTCCTATATCTAGGGCTTATACCCCAGAGGTTTTTTATGTCCCCAATAAACTCAACAAGAGAAGCTTTCATTGTGAGCACGAAAAATAACATTTTACTCACAAAAGGGTCCCATTTACCTTTATCAGAGCTGTCCAACAGGTGGTCCCCTGGACCATTTGCAGCCCACAAGTTGTAGAGCCCTGAGCAATATAAATATTGCATAGATATGGAACTGTGACATTTTTTCCCCCCATGAAATAGTTATATAACTATTGAAGCCCTTTATTTCTTATGACCATTTTATCAAATGAAACATTATTTTATCTCCAGCTGAAATGGCTCCATATTCTGCTTTCTTTTCAACAGTATATACTTTAGAGAACGTCATAGTTATGTATTACCAGCAGCAAACTTTTGTGCTTCAGTCTTTGTGAATTGATTTTTATGTACAAAATACTTTCAAAGATCAAAAATATAAGGTCTGGGTGGTAAATTAAGATGGTCAGTGCGGTAAAACAATTACTGATTTAATGTTTTTTCTAAAACAATCTATAATGCATAGTAATAAAACTATTGCATGCATTATGTGTTAATAAATTGACTCCCACTATTTATTTCTTTTTGTGGTCTGTCATACTATGTTTTCATGTATTTTCAGTTCCGCAGTTCCCTCTGTTTACTTATGGAGACCCTTAATGCCACCACTCCTCACTATGTGCGATGCATAAAGCCTAATGATGAAAAGCTGCCATTTGAGTAAGTATGGAGTTAAAGTGTTAGTCTGTTTACACTGTTACTTGAGTGGTTGGAATAGGTTACTGCACCTGGCTACTTGGCAAGAAGTATTGTAGTTCTCATAGGCCTTGTTTATGTAAGATGTCATGTTTTATGTTCAATATCCCCCTCTTGTTGTGATCGCAATGCTTAGGGCAGATTCACACCATTTTCCAGACCTGATCTGGACCAGATCTGGAACGCAGTGCATTGCATTTTGCTGCGATTATGCCACGTTCCGGAGACATTCTCTTTAGCTTAAAATGGGCTTTCAGGTGTGTTCCAATGCGGTTGCATGTGTGTGTATGCATTTTGATGCGTTTCCATGCGTTCCAGTGGATTGCAAACCAGACAAAATGAGACATGCAGTATTTTTCTGGTCTGGAACAGACTGCGCTGGTGTGAACAGAGGCCAGAAATAGCATAGGGATATATTAGGATGCATTTTGGGTCCGGAAACCATCTGGTCTGGAGCTGATCTGGATGTAGTGTGAATGGGCCCTAAGTCCCTAGGAGGCAGTACACGAAGACATGAAAAAACCTCCTCACTGCCCTGACTTTTCCAAGCTAGTTCGTTTTTATTGCCCCGCTAGGAGATAGGCTCCACTTCTAGTGTCTTCTGTAATCATCCTATGCACTGGTTCTTCTCCTTAAATCCCTCACAGCACAGCCACATGGAAGACAAGAAAAACATCTACATATCTGTAGCAGTAGCCCAGCAGCTGTAAAGGAGGGAGAACCCTATTCCCTCCCAGCCACTATCATTTCTTTCTCTGGCCCCTGTCACCTCTTCCTCTTCAGGATGGCTTAATTCCTCCATATGCATTTACTAGACTGCTATCAGTGCTGTGGTGGGGCTTCTTCATACATAAACACTGACATTATTCAAAAGATGGTGACAGAAGAATAGTGAATGCCCAGTAGTTTCCACTTTACAAGCATTACATTTCTACTTATTCTCGATTTAATCTGGAGTCTGATTTATATTCATTTAGTCATTTGCCCCAGTATTTGATACACGTGTGTCCAGATCAGGCCCGAAGCTAGGGGGGCTGGGGGGGCATGTGCCCTGGATGACGCTTAGAATTGGTCCAGATTATCGCAAAACATTATTGTTCTTCTATCAGATTCTGCAGTTTTCAAGCCATCTGATTTGCAGAGTTCCTGAAAGGTTGTTTTTTTTTTACCATGGACGCTTAAGCTAGGTTCCTACCTGTCTGGGTGGTCAGAGCCCTCAACACCTATCTGGATCAGATCTAGGTATCTAGGTTTCTTATGTCTTTTACTATATCATGAAGGTATCACAAAATTGATTTTTAAAAAAAATATTTTTAGTTTGTAGGTTGAAATGTTGTCTAATAAAAATAAAATAAAATTCAGTACTTTATTTTAGCCGGTGAAACAACTATTTTATGCAAATGTTGTTCTTTGTTCCTACCATTTCTAATGTTGTCAGCTTTTTCTGTAAAAGTAACAGATTTTTCTGCTGTGTGTCTGTACCAAAATCTGCTTTTTTAATCTCCCCAGTGAGCATGCATCATATGTAGAAAAAGAAGTTTAGCACGTATAGCAAATTCCTTGCATTGATTCTGGTGTTTACAGTATATTAAGTGAAAAGGCCTTTTGATTTTTGTGCTATGAATATTGCCCAATATTACAAAAAGAAATGTTATTTGTGATTAATTAGAAAGGTCCCATGCAGTGTATAGTATATTTAAGGTTAATGATACATGTGCTACTGACCTGAACACCTGTGTATTCTTTTTTTTTCTTGAGTTAGACCTAAAAAGGATGATCCCACAGAATATAATAAACATACATTTACATGTATATGTTAATATTTCTACTGTATCCCAGATTCGACCCTATACGAGTTGTCCAACAGTTAAGAGCGTGTGGTGTGCTAGAAACAATCCGAATTAGTGCACAAAGCTATCCTTCCAGGTAATTCTTCATCTTAGCTTACCCAAACATTAATCTTTGGATATGAGCCTTTAAATAATTGGGTTTGTGTCTTTCTAGGTGGACATACATCGAATTTTTTGGTCGCTACAGCATTCTCATGACACAGCAGGAATTGGCTTTGAGTGATAAAAAGCAGATTTGCAAAGTTGTATTGCAAAGATTAATCCAGGTATGTTCCATATTTGATACATTGTATGATTCTACTGGTACATGTAGATATTAGAAGCAGCTCAGCTATTTGGTAACAGAACAGTTGTGGAAAGTACATGCTCCTATCCTTCCAGTGTGTGCTCCATTTGGGTGCACACTGTGAAGGGACAATATTGTTGTATGAGATGCAGTTTTTCAACCTGAATAAAAAGTGCGCCAAAGTCATCTACTGTGGCATTCAGAGGCTCAAAGACAGGGCAATTGTACTGTTAAACAATATTTGAAATTATTAGATTAAGTAAGTTTCTTTATAAACAGCTTTAGGATTTTGGGGAAACATTTTTGTGTATATTAAATGGTCCATTTCTTGGGAATAAATATAGATTTTATGTTAACTGTGCGCTTGTATTTAACAGTTCTAAAACTAGGTCAGTGCTGACAATTTAATTTCTAACCAGTAGGTGGCCTGCAAACCAAGGAAGTAGTACAGCTGTGGTAAATAGTTATAGATCAGATTAATGCAGTGGCAGCGAGCAATGTGGAGTATAATAAGAACAGGATGTGTGGCTGCTCAGGGGCCTATGTTCCGGGGGGTGGGGATTTCTGCACTTCAGCACTGTTTCTGTCAATTTCAGATTTGCACATTCTTCTCACTCATGAGTGGATAAACTTTAAATACATAACCTTACACTAAACTCAGGAGTTAAATCTTAAAAATGTATTCAAGTACCTTAACTATTACCAAAAATGTATCTTATTTGTTTATCGCTCAGCCGTAGTTCCTCAAATCATCTCTGAATTGGTGCTGAGACTGTCCTTCCTTCTGGAGGGTGAGTACTTTTGTTCCCCATGGCCCCTGTGTATGTTGTAAAGTAGTCACCACTCCAATCTCACTCCTGTGATGGACTACAATCTCAATACAAATTAGTAAACTAAACATGATATTGTAATCTCAGGAGCGAGCTTGGAGCGGTGACTACTTTACAACACACACAGGGACCATGGGGAACAAAAGTAGCCACCCTCCAGAAGGAAGGACAGAGTCATCACCAATTTAGAGATGATTTTAAGATCTACAGCTGAGTGATGCACAAATAAGCTGCATTTTTGTTAATAGATAGGGTACTTAAATGCATTTTTAACGTGCATTTAAGTACCCTATAAATATCTTTACATAGATACATTTCACTTTAAATATCTATACATAGATACAAGCATACATATTCTATTTATACATAAATATTATATTATATGCGTAAGAGTCTCAAATTTTAGAGTTTGTATACATGTCATACTCAGAGACAGCTTTCAGATGTTTACTGGGAAAAATAACTTCCGTTTGAGACACATTCACATTGGCTTTCAAGAAAGTGCAAAAAAGCAAGGCAACATGACACATGGCAAAAACAAATGTATACAGCGCCATACAATCCTTCCATGCTTCACAAATGTATATCAGAAGCAAAACACTTGACCTCTTCCCGAGGCCCAATGTAGAATTAATCTGACACTGGTTCTCACTAGCCACTGGTTTTTAGAGAGTCTACAGAATGATTGCTGCCAGCATAGTACAGATCAAATTTATTTATTCATGAATCAATAAACAGCCCTTCTGAATTCATTTTATTCCACGGAATGCATTACAAATATATGTCCTACCCCAATAAATATTACTGTTAACAGGCATATTTACAGTTTAAAATGAACCTTACTATCAATATTAGCACTTATTAGAAATAATAAGAAATTTGTCTGTTAATTTTTGATACAAAATCAGAAGGACTTAGTCGTTTTTACTGAAGAGTAGCACTTGTATTTAATCTAGGGGAAACAATAATTGCTAGTGAACATGACATGATGGACATAAAACAAGATGAACAGTTAGGATTTTAACAAGTATTAAGATGACCAATGTTTTTTTTTTTAATGACTATTTTCTCAGCTACTTCTCAATTCCCAGTATCACACAGAACAGTTGTTACTGCTAAAATTCAGCAAGAGTTGTCACAGTGTTGTGTGACCAAACCTGTCTTGGCTATTGAAGCTGCTTTAAAACGGCTAGAAGGCTTTATTTATCAGTTGCCCTTCACAGCAATTATCCATATGTCATCTTAGCTCTATTGCAGCTCAGTAACTGTTACTTTATTTTTATAATTTAATACTGGCTCTAATATAGATCTGTGTGGTCACTATTTTCTATAAATCCATCCAAGTCTATTTTGTGTTGAGCCTTGATGAAGGGGAGTGGTTTTGACCCCAAATGTGTTGACTGTTTTTATATGACCTATTTGGCAACAATTACAAATGATCTTAGGTTCTAACATTCATTTTTGGTCTGGTGCTTCTTTCTGTAATTCTATGGCTTGAGCTACTTTGTGTTGCCCATTGAGGGAAGCCTTGCTGTACAGGAGCCAGCTCAACAGAGCAATAGAGCTTGTTTTAATTTTTCCTTTCATCTGACTACAACTACAAATTTGAATATTTTCAGGGCCTCTTTAAATATGTTGTTCTGGAGCTCATTTATTGTTTGTCTTTCACAACAATTATTCATGTTGCCTCTCAGCAAGATTCAACCTTCCAATGTACTAATGTCATTATCAAATGAAGGTTTGAATCTGATAAATGCAGCCCAGAGTTAAGGTGCCCATACACTGCTCAATTCTCGTACGAGAATCGGGCGAAATCCCGCGATCGTACGAGAATCGAGCAGTGTGAACGAAGACGTGCGACCGTTTCTACTGTACGGTCGCACGTCTTTTGTCGAACCAACATGCTCGAAAACCCGCCGAGAATCGTACGATTGTCGCGGGTTTCTAGCCTGCTCGTCCAATAGCTGCGGAACGGGCCAGTGTGCGCACGTGCACAGTGCCCGTTCTGCATTGCGGTCATTGGAAGTCCGCCCCTCAGCGGGGCGGGCTTTCGATGATCGCAAGTACGATCTGCCCGTCCAAGGTTGGCAGATCATACGAGCTTTCAATAAGCATACGACCATCGCAAGACAAAAGTCTTGCGATGGTCGTAAGGTGTATGGGCATCTTTAGGTTTCATACCTGATTGGATTGGTTCCAGTATAGTATAAAACATTCACTACATATCTCAGTGTTGCAGCTTTAATTCCCTGCATCAGGTGTGCTGGGTCAGTGGGTCAGTGCAGATACCAGGTTCAAGGGAGGATTCCACAAAGGCATTTCACTGTCAGTGGGTGACATCCCAACTAAAAGGAAAAATTGTCTGTAAGGCAATGGTTGTTCTTAAATCCCTACTCCTTCAATACTATGGCTCAGCCTATTTTTCTTTAAAGACTTTAGATGCATATAATGGCTCCAGCAATGGTGGTGGTGATAGCAAAATGACCCTTTATTGTTTGTCTCATTATAGTAAAATAATTATTATCTGTTTTTAGGACTCCAACCAGTACGTGTTTGGAAAGACTAAAATCTTCTTCCGAGCTGGCCAAGTGGCTTACTTAGAAAAACTAAGATCTGATAAGCTGAGAAATGCCTGTGTTATGATCCAGAAGAATATCCGAGGCTGGGTGCAACGTAAGAAGTTCCTACATGCAAGAAATGCTGCCATTGTCATACAGCAGTATTTCAGAGGACAGCGGGCTGTCAGGTAACCCACATAGGCACCCACAGTGGTTTACTTATAAAAAAAAACAGAGGTATTTCCAACAGCAGCCAAGTACATATGAGATTTCATATCAAGTGCTGATTGTGATTTGAAAGCTCCTACCTGCTTTCTTACTACTGGCAACAGCTCTATTTCCTGTTGCACCAGTTTTTATTAACCCTTTCCCAGCTGGCCAGGTCAGTATGCCTTACGATGCTTTCACCGTAAGGCAGACTGTCCCCTTTAAAATAATAGCTGTCATCAGCAGCTAACAAGCCGCTGATGACAGCTATTAACTAAAATTCCGGGACACCGCTGCCGATGGCCACCGGCATGTTCAGCTTCTGATCCCTGTCTGGAGCCGCTCCAGGCAGGGATCTGTGACTCCTTGGATCCCCGCTGCTCTCCTCCGTTTGTAGGGGCTGAGGCAGCGGGGATCCGAATCGAAATGGCCGTCTGATCACTCCGGTTTCTGTAAATAACTGGGGACACATAGTACTATGTGTCCCCAGTATGAATGAACATCACTTCCTGTTCATTCATGAATTTCTGAATGCGGAGTAGCACTCAGTACAGAGGCTCCTCCCCATTCATAAACTGGTGATAGTAAATATTTTTCCTTGGATCCCCGCTGCTCTCCTCCGTTTGTAGGGGCTGAGGCAGCGGGGATCCGAATCGAAATGGCCGTCTGATCACTCCGGTTTCTGTAAATAACTGGGGACACATAGTACTATGTGTCCCCAGTATGAATGAACATCACTTCCTGTTCATTCATGAATTTCTGAATGCGGAGTAGCACTCAGTACAGAGGCTCCTCCCCATTCATAAACTGGTGATAGTAAATATTTTACTATCAGCAGTTTCTGAATGAATGGGAAGCCTCTATACTGGGGGCTTCCCATTCATTTAGTGCTGGGGCTGAGGAAAAAAAAATGGAGGACTCTGTCCTCCATTTCTTTTTCTATTTCAAAAGGGACATTTCAGTTATATTATTTAAAAAATAAATAAAAAAATGTCAAAAAATCAAATTTTAAAAAAAATTATTTGTAAAAAAACCACAAAAAAACTAATAGAACAAGAAAACCACAACCCCCATCCCACACACCCATAACATACACGTGCACCATATTGTGTTGTTAGAACGCACCGCAGTGCATGAGTTTTTTCTTTTTTTTCTTTTAAAAAAACATTATTTTAACTGTGGCAATGCATGGAAAAGCTTTGTCAAGCATTGTTGTGCATTGTGATACCTTGTGTTGCAATTAAATATACGCCTGTATCAATTTATCACAACACAAACACCAACACAGCGCAAAAACGATTTTTAACATAAATCGCTTATTTACAGTTTTGCGTTCCTTCATTTTTTTACCTTTTCGTAAAAAGGCGCAATTTAAAATGTCAAAATATTTGTTATTTATTAACTAAATACAGTTTTATCCTTTAGATTTAGTCAGAAAATACTTTTTTTGTGCGCTGATACTGATTTTAGTGTGTTTTATCAATTGAATTGTGTATTTTTATCGGTTTAATATTAATTTGAGAAACATTTGCGCAATTATCGCAGGGCCTACAAATTTAGTAGCACCATCTTTTTATTCTACCGGGCCTGCGTTTCAGAAAATATATGGTCTGGGGGGTCTTTTACAAACGCCAGCAACGCAGCAGTTGAAAATCAAATCAATGGAAAAAATTGCAAAAATGGTGTGGCCAGCTGAGCTGAAAAATGTTCCAGAGGGCTTGGCAGCGAAAGGGTTAATCAGACCTGTCTCTAAAGTGCATGAAAATGAGAATTCTGCATGGCAACATCAATAAGAATTGTCCGAACCTAAAGTTGCTTTTTATTTCTAGGCAAACAATAAGTGCAACTGCAATTAAACACGCCTGGGCAGCTATCATCATTCAGAAATACTGCCGAGGTTTTCTTGTTCGCCGTATTTACCAGCTCATAGTAGTAGCTGCTGTGACCATACAATCATTCACACGAGGTTACCTGGCCAGAAAGAAGTTTCGCAGGGTATGTTTATGAATTGCTGTATAACTATGATTAGTATGTCCTTACAGTATATGTATCAGTGCTTTTTTTTATTGATATGATATAGAATTCTAGACGTCTCATCATTAAATTTGTTAACCCCTCCGATTGCACTCTTGAGGGGAATTTACTTGGAATGTGTAATTAACCATCTTTTATAATGGCTGGAACAGAGGCTAGCAGAAAGAACAAATAGCTAAAAAGCTAAAAACTCCCCTATCTGCTGGTAGTTTTGGCAAAGATTGGAAAATTATAATATATACTAAAGTGTGCCCTTTACAGAAGTGTCATGGGGCATATTACAAAAAGTGCTAAAGAAGCATTTTAGCAGAATGTGCAGTGGGTATGACTGCAGCCAGTATATGATGCACAGGAGGGTATGACAGTTAGTTGTATGTGCAAGAAAGCAGTGCGAGGGTCAGAATGAACAGAATGTGCAGGAGAGGAGTACATAGGGTATGGCGCCAAGCAGATTGTGCAGGTGAGGAGTGCAGAGAAATTACAGAAAGCATAATGTGCAAAAGAGCGATGCAGAGGCTATAATAGTGGGCAGAATGTGCAGGAGAGAAGTATGGATTGTATGACAGCAGGCAGTATGTACAGAAGAGGAGTGTGTGGGGTATGATAGCAGGCAGTATGTGCAGGAGAGGGGTGCAGAAGGTATGATAGCTGACAGGATGTGCAGAAGTGGAGTGCCAGAGGTCATGTTTACGTTGTTCTGGAACATTTATATTACATTTGAATTTTTGCTATCATTTTACTAATCTTTGACAAATCTTAATAATCTTGTTTAAAAGATGCGTGAGGAGCACAAGGCATTGATTCTACAGAAGTATGCCCGAGCTTGGCTTGCACGGCGCAGGTTTCAGAACATACGGCGCTTTGTAGTGAATATTCAACTCTCCTATAGAGTGCAAAGACTGCAGAAGAAGCTTGAAGACCAGGTCATTTTTCTATTATTTTATAGTCTACAAGACCAGCTTCCCTTTGATGTCAGGATACCAAATGCCATTTTAGTTTTTAGAACATCTAGTGAAATCATGAACAGTGGTGTGCATTTCTTAGAGTGGATCTTTACCCCCCTTTCACTAAAAATAATATCATATTGCATTCATTAGTTAAACAAACATGTTTTTCATTTACTTACAAATAGAGTTCCTGGTCCATTGTGGCATAAATTATGTAATCGCGCCCAAGCGTTGGATGTTCTGCTGATACATTGCTATGAAATCTCATCTGCAATCTCATGAGATTTCAGGGAAAAGCCTTTTCCTTACCTGAGATGATGTGCATGGTCACATGTCCTAGTCACATGTGTCAGAGTTCCAGGAAATAAAGGGAGATCTAGTAACATGCCCTTAGTAAAAAAAATGGCCACTGTCAGAAGACTGGGTAAGAAAGTAAAAATAAGTTATACAAAGAATAAAAAGCCTGCAATTATCTAGAAGCATATGTTTGTATATAGTCATTACTAAACATTTCCAAAGGTGACTTTGTTGTTATTTTAAAGATATGGGTAAAGTTCCTCTTTAAGGATCCAAGACACTAAATCTGGTATTAAAGATTTGTAAATACAACCATGGCAGACTTTCCTAATATGTGGGACAAGGTGGGACATCAGAACAATGAGACTTGTCCCACCTTGTCCCACATATTAGGAAAATGTCAAGCAACAGTGGTGCAGCAGCAGTGCTGACATGCATGGAGTTATAAAATACGTAATTCATGTGTCCTTGGCAGCGACAGCCCTAAAACAGAATCCATGGCACTCTAATGCATGAGGCTGTAACTACACTTGTGCAGTATTGCGAAAAGTATTCAGCATAAAGCATATGTATAGACAAACACTTTTTTGGGGATAGTATAGAAAATAGTTAAACCCTCCATTTATTTTTTCCTATCTATGCCCCATTGGGTAGAGTTCCCTTTTCATTTCTGTTCTAGAGAAGCAACAGGAAACTATAGAATGTTCTACCAATTGAGAGGATATGCCCTCTACACAGTTGAAGAAACCAGAACAGGTGTCCCCATGGAAAAATGTATCCTTACGGATTGTTCTGGTAACAACTGTAAAATGTTTCTATTCCAGCGATAATGGTGACAGAACAAATAAAGAGGTTGACACTACCCACTGGGGACACAGCAATAAAAACTTGACAGAGGTTCCAATCTTTTTTACACGATTCAAAAGGGAATGAAAAAGTGTTGGCCATACATACAGGTGAAACTCGAATAATTAGAATATCGTGCAAAAGTAATTGCAGTAATTGCTGCAAAAGGGGCCCAAACCAAGTACTGAGTACATATGCATGCTTGTACTTTTCAGAGGTCCGATATTGTTCTATGTGCAATCCTTGTTTTATTGATTGCATGCAATAATCTACTTTTTTGAGATTGTGGATTTGGGGTTCTTGGGGTTTTCATGAGCTGTAAGCCATAATCATCACAATTATGACAAATCACGGTTTGAACTATCTTGCTGTGCATGTAATGAGTCTATCTCATATATTAGTTTCACCTTTTAAGTTGCATTAGTGAAATAAATGAACTTTGCACGATATTCTAATTATTCGAGTTTCACCTGTACATTTTAAATTGCATAAATGTTTTAACCTTTGCTAGGTTTAGTTTACTTTAAGTGCGTTCATAGCAATACCTGCAAATGCTGTTTCAGAACAAGGAAAACAATGGCTTATTGGAAAGACTTACCAGCTTGGCTTCCACTCACTCACATGATGTTGATAAACTTCATAAACTCGAATCTGACCTGCAAAAATCCATCATGCAGCTGAAGTCACAGGAGGAAAAAGGGAAGAAATACAAAGATGACACTGAACAGGTCAGTGCCCCATGTTCTCTGTAACACCATAGCATTGCATTGTGATGGCTTTAACCCCTTCGTGACGGGAGACGTACACTGTACGTCCAGCCACAAAGGGACCAAATGACTCGTCACGTACACTGTACGTGACGAGTTATTTGCTGCACTAGAAGGCTGCTAACCGCTGAGAATCAGCGGTTACCTTTCAGTAATGGATGTCTAACTATCTAGAGATCCATTACTGAAAGGGTTAACCTTTTTCAGACACCCGATACCTTAATATCGGGTGTCTGAGAGTCACAGCAAAGCAGACACACATGTCGGCTTTTGCCGGCATTCTGACAGCTCGTATAGATGGAGAGATATCTCTCTCAAGCTATACTGGCTTTTTTTTTTTTTATCTTTTGACTTTCAAGAATAGATACAAAATGTTATGTATTAGACACATAATGTATCTATTCTTGAAAGTAGAATGTTTAAGTTTTCTGAAACATTCACTGACAGCTGAATCCTGAACTGCTGCAGGATCAGTGTCACTAACTTATTATCGGCTGTTCTGAAGTTTGAAGCAGCCTGATAATAAAAAAAATGTATTAATTTATCAAGCAGTAATAGTGAGATTAATTCACAATGACTGCCTGATATAATTAAATAAATAAAATTTGTCAGTATAAAAAAAGTGAAAAGTGTAAATAAATTAAAAAAAATAGTGAAAAGTGTAAAAAAATTAAAAATAAGGGACAAATAAATGAATGTATGTATTGCATTTTTTTTTAGCTGTGCTGGTTTTGTTAAAAAAAAATACTACAAATCAAAACTGGGAAAAAAAGTTTTTTTTTACGTTTTTTCCTCTTTTTTTAATTTGTATTTGTCCTAAGTGAGGCGTTAGACACACATATGTGATATAAATATATAGCCCTATCTGTCCTCTAAAAAACAATATATAATATGTGTGGGTGCACTTTGTAAGAAAGTATATTACTGACGTGGAAGAATCACACAGCAAAAATGTCAAAAGTGTGTCAGTCATTTACGAACAGAAACCAAAAACAAGCTCAGTCATGAAGGGGTTAAGGAAAGTTATTATATTTTTTTCTTGGTTGGTTGTGGCAGATTTTTTATGCTAATATTTATGCTGCCACTAGAGGGCACAGCCATCTTCATGTCAGACCGCATTTGTTTGTCATTTGACTGCATGGCTGTGATTGTAGGAGATGCATTCTGCTTAACTGAACTAAATCAGTCAGTTTGTCTGAATGAATTGTAATGGCCTGGAACTGAACTTCTGATGATTTCACCAGCTTGTGTTTGTGGCCATTGTCCAGATACAGATATTTAGACATGATAGATCAGTTATCTCTACATAAATATATGTTGTAGATTTTGCCATATATATGTAGCAATAAGGCAAAATGCAGAATTTGCTTTTATAAAGAAAACTGTAATCTGATATCGGCAAGATAAATAAATAATTAGGGGCACATTCACATTGTTGCAGTGTGATCATGTGTGTTATTTTGCACATTGATGTGTGTTGCATTAGGGCAGCACATTTATTTTGAATGAGCTGTCAGTGCACCAAAATGCAGGTAAAAACGCACTTACACCATTTTTGCGATGCAGCTGATCACAACACAACATATGGAGTGCTAACATCTGCGTATTGTAGCGCGTTATAACACAGGTATATTGGAGTGTGCTGTATAACTGCATTGGGGTTGCCATTCAAAATGGATGGTACTGCAATGCACATACAGTGTACAGTACCTGTGTGTTAAGGCGCGTTGCATTAACACATGTTTTACTCCATGTTTTACTGATTTTTTTACTTGAATTTATAAAAACTAGCCTGTTCCCTAGATGTTTTATCATCAACGTAATTGTGCATTTGTCTCTCATATTAGAAAATATCAAAACTACAATCTCAGAACACTGAACTTCTGGAGCACAAGCAAAAACTGGAGACCCGATTAGAGGAAACAAACCAAGAGATGAAGGGTACACTGTTTTCAGATTCATATTACTTTATATTATTATTAGTTTTGCTAATATAATTAATGTGGTTTTGCATTATTCTTCTGCACAGATAAAATGAATGAACTTACAAACCAGCTGTTTACAGATGTTGAAAAAGAGGGAAAACAAAGAATGTATGTATAGTTCCTTTCATATGTGATGACTCTACTCTCCCACCATAAATAAAGGAACCAGCTAGGCTGGATTGTTAAAGGGCACACTCAGTAGGGTTATGGATGTGGAGTTCATTTCACATACAGCTTTTATCTATGTAGATTGTTTTTTTTTTAGACTGCTGATTCAATATTTTATTAATTGTGTAAAAATGCAAATTAAGAGCTAATATGCCATATTATATGACTCCCAATGTCACCTGCAGGACATATACAGGGTTATTCACAAAAGGGTGAAGAGTTTGGAGAAGGCAGGAGAAGTGAACTATCTAGGACAACATAGCTGAACTGGAAAGTGAGCTGAATTGAAGAATTCTCTCAAATCAGCTATGTTGTCCTAGATTGTTCACTTCTCCGGCCTTCTCCAGACTCTTCACCCTTTTGTGAATAGCCCTGTTAGTGTATGTGTCACAGAGGGGGCTATTCATTTCCTTTTGGATCATAGATATTGGTGCAGGTGTAACATGTTAGTCAGTTTATTATTTACACTGTTCTTTTTTTCATAGAAAGCTTGAAAAACATTTTGAAATTCAGAGAAAAGATTATGACAACCAGATAAAGCAACTGAAGTGGGAGATTGAGATCTTGAAAGAAAAAAACAAAAAATTAGTGAAACAGATAGAGAAACAGACTGCTCTTAATGATGGACTCACACTGGAAGTAGCTCAGCTCTCTAACCAGGCAAAGGTAAGGAAAGGTCAAGTCGTTATGTCAGTCTGTGTATTATACCCCTCTTCCAATATGAACTACATAGATGTATGAAATTGATATTTCTCTATAATGTTCTGGACAGAGTTCTAACACATGCCGGCGTCCACTTTTGTTGTTATATGTTAAAGCAACAATATCACTTTAAAAAAATGCACCATGTGAAGAATACTATTGCTACTTACCTGCTGCCCCGCTTCCCCCCAGTGAATGAATATACATTCTACTGCATAAGGAAAAAGTTTGGTAGAGTCTGCAGCATCAAGCACTTCCGGGTGTGTTGGATGCCTGTATGCTTCACTGCACATTGTGGTTCCATCCTCCGGCCTCCATGCTACTAGTGTGTCTCAGGTACACAGGATTGACTCATTGGCAGGCAGCTGGAAACACAGAGGGGGGAATTTATCCAAACGGGAGCAGACAGGATGCGGAGCAGTTGCCCATAGCAACCAATCAGCTTCTCTCTTCAGTTTGCCCAGGTAAGATTTGAAAATGAGAGAGTAGCTGATTGGTTGCAGTGCAAATCTGTTCCAGATTTTGTCTACTCCAGTTCTGATTAATTCCATTAAGGGCCTGTTCACATGATATCAGGTCCTGATCAGGTGCAGATCTGCAGACTGATGCAGTGCATTTTTGCCGCGTTTTTGATGCGTTCCAGTAAAAAAAAAAAAATATATATTTATTTTTTTTTGCTGGAGTGGGGCTGTTAGTATGTTAGCTGCAGTGCAGTGCATTTTTCATGCATTTTTGCCGCGTTTGCGTTTCTTGACCGTTTCCGGACCGGACAAAATGTGACATGCAGTATTTTTTCTGTCATAAGCTGAACGGACTGCGCACGTGAGAACTGGAGCCCATAAAACACATAGGGATACATTGGGATGCATTTTGAGTGCAGCAGCGTACGGAGCCAGTCAGCACACAAAACGGACGTTGTGTGAACAGGCCCTTAGGGCTTGTTCACACCAAGCGCGGAGCAGATCCAGACCAGAGCAGGTGCAGACCGGATCAAAACTGCGTCCAATGTATTCCTATGGTATTTTGACCTCCAGTTCACATCGCAGCGTGCGGATCCAGACCAGATCCAGAGCAGGTGAAAAAACTGCGGCAAGCCCTATTTTACCTGCTCTGGATCTGCTCTGGAACGCATGAAAAACGCATCAAAAGCGCATCAAAAACGCAACGCAATGCAACCCAATGCAATTCAATGGGAAAAAATAACCATAAAGAAAAAAAACCTCTATGGTCATCTGTCATTTTCCTTTGTCACTTCCTGTCTTTGGAAAAGGTGACCTTGTGAGCTGGAGAGCAAAGGAAAAATGGTGGACCAGTTTTGTGACCCAGAGAGATTCATAAGTATGGTTCAACAGTGCCCTGAGCTATATGACAGCAGACACTTTCAATATAAGAACAATAGAAAGAAGGCTGACCAGTGGAGTTTGATAGCAGGGAGAGTTTTCCCAGGATATAAGGATATGTCCTTGACAGATAAGGAGAGCTGTGGTGAGTACTTCAATGTGATAGAGAGAGATTGCTAGAGAAGTAGAGAGAAAAAGAGAGTGTGATATAGAGAGAGATTGCAAGAGAAATAGAGAGAGAGTTATAGAGAAAGAGAGAGAGAGAGAGATTGCTAGAGAAATAGAGAGAGAGTTATAGAGAAAGAGAGAGAGAGTGATAGAGAGAGAGAGATTGCTAGAGAAATAGAGAGAGAGTTATAGAGAAAGAGAGAGAGAGAGTGATAGAGAGAGAGATTGCTAGAGAAATAGAGAGAGAGAGGGTTATAGAGAAAGAGAGAGAGTGATAGGGAGAGAGAGATTGCTAGAGAAATAGAGAGAGAGATATAGAGAAAGAGAGAAAGTGATAGAGAGAGAGTTATAGAGAGAGAGTGATAGAGAGAGAGAGATTGCTAGAGAAATAGAAAGAGAGTGATAGAGAGAGAGAGATTGCTAGAGAAATAGAGAGAGAGTTAAAGAGAGAGTGATAGAGAGAGAGAGAGTGTGAGATAGATTCCATCACAAGGGACACATAACAAGCAAACATTCCTACCTAGATATCGACATGCGGGTGTATGAAAAAAACTTGTCTGGGTGTGCACGAAGGTCTGCATTTAGAGTCCCAAACTGGCCCTTTGGATCTCTTTCTCTCATCAGTGGGTGCACCCAAAAGCGACGTCTCCTTACAGCACTTTGGTGTAGCAGTATAATAACCATCACCAGGAGCATGCCTGCATCCCATGGATCCATGTTGCAACAATTTTACATGTGAAACAAGGTCAGAGGAAGCAGGAAATAATCGGAACAGCTAATGAAAGGTCAGAGGTAAAAGGAAATGACCTCATAACCTTGTTAGCTTCCTGGGGGAAAAAAACGCATCAAAAACGCGTCAAAAACGCATCGTGCGTGTGCAGAAACCTGACCGGATCTGGTCTGCATTTGGTGTGAACAAGGCCTTAGTGTGTACAAAAACATCAGTGATGAAGCAGCTGTCTTGTGGAACCACAGAGTGCAATGCAGGCATCTGAAACACCTAGACATACCAGATACTGAACATTCCACTGGACCTTCTAGCTCTGCAAGAGAATGAAGATTGAATTCACAGGTGGTAAGACTATAAGCACACCTCCCAACATTCTGAGATGAGAAAGAGGGACACCTTCCAGCACAATTAGGCTACACCCTCAGTCATGTGAACCAGTAGGAGTGTATATGTCTAAAATGATTGGTTAAACCCAGAATAGTTTTTCTCACTATTACTTTTTCTTTATTCTGGCTTTTTAAAATAGCAAACAAGATCATTAAGAGTTTAGATTAAGGTTTTAGTGCAGAATAATACGTTTGGTAGTTAAATAGTATATTTTTATAGCTATCTGTACATACCAGAAAGAGGGACAACTGAGGAGGAAGAAGGGTCAGAGGGATGTGGTTCCAAATGAGGGACAGTCTTTCCAAATTGAGGAACAGTTAGGAGATATGTTTTAAGTAGTGGCACGTTCTGTGTATTTTATTTGTTTGTTTAATTTTTTTGCCACAGAGTTGATTTAAAAAAAATTGTGTCTAATTACTTCCTCACATATCAACGAGTACTTCGTTATACAGTATAATAACCATGAGTACTGGAAAATGAACCTATACGCACGCAGCATGTGTTTTCATAGCAAATACATATAAATAGAACCACGGTACTTTGGCAATGCCAAGTCCAACACCATCCCCATTAACGATATTTTCCCCTTACTTCCTGTCCTGGGTACATGAAGTTACAAAGATAAAAAGTGATGGGATATTTCTGTGATGAGGAGAGATACAGCATGAAAGGCACATTAATGGAATAGAGTGGGGAGGTGTTAGAACATTTGTCATGCTTTTAGGCTCTGTGTCTTCTGGTCCAAATGTCTTCTGCACCCTCCCATTTCTTGTCTTGGTTTTATAAGGAGAGGACAGGAGGGAAAATCTTCCCAGTGAGGACAGCAACAGCCACAAATTTAGCTGGAGTTTAATAATCATCAAGATGAACAGACTTGGCTACAGACTAATGATTGCTGCTTCAACTAACTATAGGGGTTAGGGAAGTTACAAAGTTTGGTTTACCTCCTCATATGAAGGACCACTGTAGTGGCAAATGCTGTATACTGGAAACAGTATGCAGTTAAGGCATGTTATATAAAAATCAATAGATTATCCACTCTTTTTTTTTCCATATTCACAGTACACACAGACAAAGTTGTCCAGTGACAGGGGTTGAGATAAACTATCACAAAAATGCTGTTTTTCCTCCATATTTACTGCACACACAGACCAAGCTGACCAGTAAAATAAACTGTGACATGGGTTTGGACAAACTATCACAAGGGTGCTTGCACTTCTTTTATTTAACTGCTCAAACTCCTCTGGCAGTGTTCTAGTTTTTCCCCAGTCCTGTCACGTTTGATTAAACCAAAATGGTCTACCACTCAAAGGCTTCTCCAGGCTGCTTCTGTCAACTGTGCATCCTGGCAAAGATAGAGCTTGTCCTGTCGACTTCCAGTATCTCACATAGAAATTACAGCCATGCAGACCATGTGATATAATTATTTCAGATCTTCATTCTTCCTAGGCAAGAACAGCCTATGAAACTCATCAAACTTCAAACTCTTAGCTATTGCATTTCACTCCACTCAGGATCTTATTCACAGAGTCACTACTTTTAAAGTCACACTAAAATGCATTCAAGTACATTAACTAATAACAAAAATGTATCTTATTTGTGTATCCCTCGGGTGTAGATCCTCAAATCATCTCTGAATATCTTTTTACTCATCCTGTACCAATCACATTAAAGTGACACTAAACTCAGGAGTTAAATCTTAAAAATGTATTTAAGTACCCTAACTATTATAAAAAATGTATCTGATTTGGGTATCAGTCAGTGGTAGTTTCTCAAATCATCTCTGAATTGGTGTTGACACTGTCCTTCCATCTAGAGGTTGGCTACTTTTGTTCTCCATGGTCCCTGTGTGTTTCAAAGTAGCCATCACTCCAAGCTCACTCCCACGATGGACTACAATCTCACGTTTAGTTTACTAATTTGTAGTAAGATTGTAGTCCATCACAGGAGCGAGCTTAGAGCGGTGGCTACTTTACAACACACACAGGTACCATGGGGGGAAAAAGTAGCCACCCTCCAGAAGGAAGGACAGTGTCAGCACCAATTCAGAGATAATTTAAGGATCTACAGTTGAGTGATGCACAAATAAGCTGCATTTTTGTTAATAGATAGGGTACTTAAATGCATTTTTAACGTTTAACTTCTGAGTTTAGTGTCACTTCAAGTCCTTAAACAGGCCTCAGAACAGAGGAGTTTTGTGGGACGGCTGTTTCCACCTATAAACAATAAAGATATTTTAAACGTCTTGATTATGTGTTCGGTGCGTCTATGATTTCTTAGTGAAATCCTGTCACTTTTGTTGGCCTGTTAAGTAAATGTGGAGAAAAACATAGCTAAAGCTATGCGGAAAAAGCAATAAATATAATCTCATTACATGCATTATCACAAAACCTGATCAGAACTGGTCCTGTAGAGCATGAATTTAAAGTGGCATATTTACTCCTGTAATACTTTCTAAAGCAAATCCACACCAAGACCAAATTGTGCTTTCACTGGCATTGGCAAACATAGAAACGTGGGAGTTCATACACACACCTGTCTATTCCAGGAAAAGCCAATGAACATGAGTAATGTTACATAATTGCACCACATTTGATTTGTCAGTGTGCATCAGAAAAGTCCCTCTGACAACATCAGTTAATCAGCAAGACAATTTCGTTATATATTCAGCTTGTTACGTAAAGAAACCTTGGTTGACCTGCTTACATGTTTGAACAGTAATTACTCCTTAATGCAAGGTGCATTGTTTGTACATGGTAGATGACATATATATGGTCAGTAAGTGTGTATTGTTTATAGTTCAAGAATATAGAAGGTTGATGATTTCATTTACATTTGTACTTGTTTAGAAATACTATGCAAAAGCAATAGTAATATGCAAAAGTGCAGTAATCCATAACAACCAATGTGACTGGGTCCACGTTACGGGTACTGTAAATATACACAGACTGCGTTATCTTAGCAAAAACAAAAGCCCATTCAAATTTAGAGATTACACTCCCTCCAGTAGCTGGGAACTGGAGGTGCTGATGATTTAAACTTTGCTACAGGCGTTCTTCACTTTAATGAAGCTTTCTTTTGAGTTATAGTTTATATGAAGTAATAATGCACATTACAATTTAAGAAACTAATGGCTAAACCAACAGTTAGATTAACAATATCTTTACATGAACTTCTTTGTTATGATTTTGCTATGGATAATTGACTAATACACTTTAATTCTGAATTAATAATTTTGTTTCGGCACCAAGATTTTATTCCTGTAAGATATGTGCTTGAAACTTTAAAATATTGGTGCTGATAAGGTAAGTACAGACATATAGGTGTTAATTTAGGGTTTAAATATAGGTAAAGAATTAATTATGGTTAGGCTAAATGGCAAAGGTTTGGATGGGGTGAAGTATTAGAATTCGGTCAAGCATTTAGGATTTCTTTAAAAGGTTAACCAATGCGTCTGGGGTTAGTTTTTAAGGGCTAGACTCCAACTTTGGTCATATTTTTTTTAAATAACTTGTTACTCCAGCATTATTAAATAATGAAAACATCTCAGGCTGCAAGATTCAACTTCAATGTGGGGTGGTGTTCTGCAGTATTTCTATTGTGCCTCATGATGTGCTAAGCCTATCAATGAAGTCCAGTGTCACTCAGCTTGGAAGACTGAGGACATTACTGAGAATATAGGGCACTGTGGGTTCACCATGGCACCCTGCATTCACTGTGTATTTATGCGCAAAGCTGTGCTGACGTCACCACATCTGCGCTGTTCTCTGCAATTCTGAGAACTACTCACCAATGGAGAAGATTATAAGAGGAAAAGGACACAGCACATCTCATGACTGGCTAAAAGACATCAGAAAAGATGAGTATATATATTTAAAAAAATACACACTGGGGAATACTTAGGGAGGGGGGTACACTTGTACCTTGGATTTGGACGTTAAGTGTTAAGGAATAGTGTTAACTATACATTTGTTGTTAACACTATACACACAACTGTTAACACAGTTAAGAGGAGGGATAAGGTAAAGGATCAGGATAACTGTTAACAATAGGTTATAAATCCGGGTCTGGGATGGACTGTACACATTTTAATCTGCACTTGTTTCTGCCGCCAAAAAACAGTGGACATTTTTTAAGTCTAGTTTTGTTGAAGTTATATTTTGAACCTGACAAATTCTTAAATTCATGGTACTCATGTAATATAGTGAGCAATATACATTGCATTTCCTGTTTTAATAATTTCCTATCTCCTAATGCCAAAGTGAGACTTATTATGAAACAAACTACTTCATGTCATATTCATCAGGAAACATCTCTAAATTGCTTAATAATTAAAAACCCTGACAGAGTATTTACAGTATTTCCTTTTAGATCACACATAGATAATTAGTCAACTTAAAGGAGAACTATGACATGAGTGATTTCCACTCACCTCATAGTTCTAAGCCGACTCAGTAGATCGGGAGGTGAGGGAACACATACCGGGTTCCCTCACCTCTCGATCCTGTCATGGCTCTCTGCCGTGACAGGGGGAGGGGCTGGATTCCCCTCTCCCCGCTCCGATCTGCCAGCGCTGACTGGCGGAACGGACGGGGGAGGGGGCGGGTACAGCTGGCTCTGCCTATCTAGAGGCAGAGCCAGCTGTCACTCACGCAGCTGGGCGGATCCCGTCATCTAAGTCGGGATCCGCTCCAGGTGCGGCGTCTCAGTATACCGCGAGCTGTAGCTCGCGGTATACTGAGACGCCGCACCTGGAGCGGATCCCGACTTAGATGACGGGATCCGCCCAGCTGCGTGAGTGACAGCTGGCTCTGCCTATCTAGAGGCAGAGCCAGCTGTCACTCACGCAGCTGGGCGGATCCCGTCATCTAAGTCGGGATCCGCTCCAGGTGCGGCGTCTCAGTATACCGCGAGCTGTAGCTCGCGGTATACTGAGCTTAGGGCAACGGGAGGACGCTAGTTTGTGGAGAACTATGGGGAAAAACACTGACCCCATAGTTCTCCTTTAAAAAAATATACTTGTTGATCGAGTTCATAAAGAAGAAAACATCTTAAACACTGAGGTGATCCAGAGAAAGACAAAAAGAACATTATAAAGCATGGTTCAATTTGCTGTAACAGGGAATAAATTAATTTCTTATCCAAAAGGGAATCATATACTCCCTGAATCAACATTCTACAATGTTACAACTTATAGGGGGAGGAGCCAAAGGATTAAGCCGAGCGTTTGTCTAATCCTTCGAATCACTTCGACTGTAGGAAGCCAAAAACTTAGCTGAAGCGGGAGAACCATGTTTGAAGGGACCCCCAAGTTAAAAATTTAAAAAAAAGTGGGGTCCCCCCTATGATTCTCAACCAGACCCTTAACCCGGGCACTGGCCAGGCAGGGTAGGAAAGGGGGGGGGGACTAGCGAGCACCCACCCCTCCCTGCGCCATACTGGGCTTGTTCAATTAAAGGATTTGTTCAGAAGGCTGGTGTGTTTATTTACTTTTTATTTAACTCTTTAGTTAATGAGTAGGGGTTGAACGAACGCTTACTCATTCACAGGGGGGTGACATCTGGATGCCCCCTTTATGAACGGCGGTACCCAGATGCAAATGAGCCCCCCTGCACGCAGACCCCCACAACCACAGGGCTTTGGGGAAGAGGCCCTTGTCCCCACCATCTTTTTACAAACGCTAGCAACGCAGCAGTTGAAAATCAAATCAATAGGAAAAAATTGCAGAAAATTCAAAAATGGCTTGGCCAGCTGAAGGGTTAACATTTCTACCAGACCTAAAGGGGTAGCGAACACTCTCTGCTGTTCGGCCCCTTTGGCCCCCTTTAGGGTTGAACAGCAGCAAGTAGCAGCTGAATGGTCGCTTCAGCAAATCCAGATGTTGGATTGGCTGAGGCAAACAGGTTCTTTCCTTCGGTTCAGCCGAACGTGCTGAGGCTGTTCGGCTGAACTGAAGGAAAGTGAAGGGATCCGAGGGCAGCCGATGTACAGGCTTCGGCTCCCTTCACATCAGGTCTTTTATCCTATCGGCTGCCTGCGGCAGCTTAGTGATTAACCGCCATAGAAACACATTCAGCCTCTTTTTTAAGGAATGTATTGAATCTGAATCTTGAAAATCAACCTTATGCCTTTGTGGTGACCTTAAAGTGAACAACCTTCTAGTGAGTTTAATTTCTGGACATATATTTTACATTTGCCATTGTCTTATTGATTGGAATATTGTTTGTTTTTATTTATTATTATACAAAAATTATTAGACTAATGATAAGACTATTAGAAAGTAGAAGAATATCAAACTGCTCCCCACGGAAACCTAGGTTGGATCATGTTTGGTGGACAAATCTTGTTGACAAATTTTCTGTGACACTAGGCCACTGAACAAAGTCTTTTATTTATTTGCCTTTATCCGCATATAGGATTCAATAGCTGTTTGTTGTTTCTTTGACATTGACTGTTTAGAAAAAAGCTGTTTCGTTGTCAAAAACCATTTATGTTGACTTTAGTATTCTTTAGCACATTCAATGCATGTTCTGGTTTCCATATCTTGTCTGACTTCATTTGCTCTCTTTTGTCATGCATCATGACTGCACAGTCTCCAAGGCTTCACTAAGAAGATTCTTAATGCCGTATGTAATACAAATATATGACTACAGTTAGTACATATTCCAAAATTCTAATACACCATAATGTACATTCTATACTGTCCTACACAGAAAATACCAGAGTTTCAAACTCAGATTGAACGTCTTGAAACCCAGGTGAAGGAGACTGACAACCAGGCACAATTACAGAAGCAGGAAATGCGTGGTAAGATAAAGCACTCTCTGCAGATGCCTTGTTGAGTCCAGTAGAAATACACAGGAGGAATTTATCAAAACTGGAGCAGACAGAATCTGGAGCAGTTGTGCATGGCAACCAATCATATTCTCTTTCATTTTCAAAGCCTAACTGAACAAACCGAAGGGAGAAGCTGATTGGTTGGCTCACTTTTTTGCAGGGATTTTGCAGGGGAAGTTCGCCGTAACTTGTTGAAATTTCACTTTGCAAAGAATACGTAATCATGTGCAAGGAAAATAAAAAATAGTATTTTTGCTTGCATATTATTGGGTGATGGAAGTCAACAGAGCTTCACCTCATTCTCTAAACTAAGGGGAAACTTCACCTACACAGTGCAAATTCCCTTGCAAAGTGAACAGTATATTTACCTTTATATTTTCCCTTTAGTAAATCAACCCAGGGATGTGCGGTCAGGGGAGGCAGAGCCTCACCTAGTATTATGGAGGAAAAAGCTGTTAGCTTCAAGTCTGAAGCTGACAGCTTTTTCTCCATTCAGATCGGCTTGTAACATGTTACACAGCAGAGAAATCCTCCCCGCTGTGTAACCTGTCATGGATGGAGTGCTGTTGCATCTGGCTTTTGACAGCTAGGTTAGGTTACACAGCAGTGGGCTTCCCCAAGAGCAAGAAGTCAAGGGCTAGAGCCAAGGCCAAGAGCAGCAACAGCCACTACTCTGTGTTAGAGGCTCGAGGTCTGTGGATGGTTTGGACCAATGGCAAAGCGCCATTGGCCCAAGCTGTCCAATCGAAAAAAAGAAAATCGATCTCGATGCCTCACCAGTGACAAGCAAGTGAGGGACAGAGAGGCTCCTCCAAGTCTCCTCCCTTCCTCCTCCCTTTCTTCTCCACACATAGCTTGGTGCTCGGGTTGGGGGTGGGGCATAAATGGGTTGGGGGCAGGGCATGCTGGGACAGGGTGTCAGTGGGCTTGGGGCAGGGCTGTGGCTGGCAGGGGGAATGCCTCACCCAGCACGGAAGGTACCGCACATCACTGAATCAACCGCTATATGCAGTATCTTCCCTTTGCATGGAAAAGCTTTGCGGAAAACCTCTATGTTTGTTTGCCACCATCCAAACTTATAAAGTGTATGTAAACCTGGACAATAAACTTCTATTATTTGCTCCCTTTTATTCTGTTAAATATACTAATGAATGTGTTTTGTTATATCTGTTCAATAAACGTAAAACAAAAAAAGTGTTAATCCTTTTAGAAATTCAGAGCTGTCCTGTGTCCTGTTTACTTTGCTTGTGCTATCTCGAGGAGTCTAATGAGCACTCCCAGTTCTTATATAGGATTACAAAACAATTAATCCCCAATTTGTGGAGATGAGGATTTGGGGAAAGATCCTGTATCTTACCAAAAGGCAACTGGACAGGGCTGACATCATTTTTGGCAATTTCCGTCCAAAATGCTGTGTGTTGTCAGCTCACAACAACACTTAGAAGCTGAGTGCATTTCTGTCATATCAGCAGGTATTTTGCAGGGTCTTTAAGGGAATAAAACCTAGGGAAATGTGCATATACAGTATTGCAGAGATGTGATGCCTGTGTTATTTTGTATTTATGTTTCAATGAAGTAATTATGTTACAGAGAGAATGTCTGAAATGGCCAAACAGCTTTTGGAGAGTTTTGAAGTTGAGGATGTTAAAAACAGGTATTAGACATTATAACAATTGTATCAATAATTATTTATTGACTAATATTGTGTCCAAGTGCTTTCTATACTACAGAAGGTGTGAGAGATTTTGCCATGTTAGTGCCAATGTTTGAATTACATGATGGTTAGAAGAGACTGAGACAATTCTAAGGGGATTGTCCCTTGAACCATTAATATTATCTAAATATTTCATATTTTTGGGATACTCCCCCAGTAAGTGACATAGCTTTTTGTGAATATCATTTGTTGTCATATGCATTTCTATATGCTTGCTATCACTTTCAGTTGAGTTCTTTTACAGCTTGGATGATATTTTGATTGGATTTTCAATAGGAATTTTGTCCATTTAAGCATGCATTTGCAATCTGTATATATAATCAGAATAAATGTTACTAAATTGTTGACTACCTTTTAGAGAAAGAGAGGCTTCTATGTGCCTCAAAATATGAAGTGTCCTGAAATTTAAGCAAACCCTTTACAGAAGTTTGATAAAAGTCAGGGTAATAATATCAGACAGAGAGTTGACCGAAAGCATTGTGTGCCCTTTTGCATGTGTCATGTTGATGGTTCCACTGTCAGTGGAATATGTTAAGAGATTTTTAGCTAGAAAGAAAAACTTCAAATAACAAATACGTAACTATATATGTATACATTGCTTACCCGCAGACTTGCCCAAGAAGATATAGGAAATATAAATGAAGATGGAGAACTTTGGTTTGCTTATGAAGGCTTGAAAAAAGCAACCAGGTGAGGCATTCTTGGAACATTACCATAGTTTTCATGAAACTGGGCAGAAATTATGGTCCCTACTGCCATATTTTATTACGCATTTGCAGTAGCACTGCCTATATACATATGGTAACTACTTTACATATCAGCAACCCCCGTGGAGTAGACATAGGCGTTTTTCAAACAAAATCCTTCCAGTGTAATTATAAAGTACATGTATTAATGTGGCCTGGATTGGTGATCATGAGAACTAGAACATATCTTTTTACTCATCCTTTACCATGCTGGCGACGTACACTGTACGTCGTCAGTCACGAAGGGGTTAAAGTGACACTAAACTTAAGGTACTTCAATTCATCTTAAAAATGAATTGAAGTACCTTAACTATTAACAAAAATGTATCTTATTTGTGTATCACTCAGCTGTAGATCCTCAAATCATCTCTGAATTGGTGCTGACACTGGCCTTCCTTCTGGAGGGTGGCTACTTTTGTTCCCCATGGTCCCTGTGTGTGTTGTAAAGTAGCCACCACTCCAAGCTCACGCCTATAATGGACTACAACCTCATGTTTGTATTGAGATTATAATCCATAACGGGGGCAAGCATATCCTGTCAGTTTCAGGATGACAGCAGCTCTGTGCGTGGCAGAGCGTGGGATCGGTAAATCAATGATATTTACCGGTCCTCCGTGTGAGAAGGACAAACACAGGAGCGATTGTCTGATCACTCCAGTGTTTGTAAATAACTGGGGACACATAGTACTAACTATTCAGTTATGAATGAACAGGCTGTGATTCACATCACAGCCTGTTCATTCAAGATTTACGCAATGGGGAGAAGCACTTAGTACAGAGGCTCCTCCCCATTCAGAACCTGCTGATAGTAAATATTTTACTGAATGAATGGGAAGCCTCTGTACTGACTGCTTCCCATTCATTGAGTGCTGAGGCTGCTGAAAAAGAAATTGAGGATTTGGTGTCCTCACTTTCTTTTCTATTTTAAAAGGGAAATGTCAGGGGTCTGTTTGGATGCCAAGCATGCATGATGCCATGCATGCATGGCATCATGTAACGTCATGCTCCCCACCTCCAAGATGGTGGCACGCATTCACAGAACACGCCGGTGGCCAACATGGCCGCCGCACATTCTCAAACAAATTATTATGTGCCGGAATACATTTTTCGTATATCCGGGCAAATAGTAATTCATTAATTTACACGTAGTCTTGAAAAAAGGGATCGGCATGACAACCTGACACTTTATGTTTATAGATTCTTTTTTAGTTTGACATTTATTGTTTATCACTTGTTTGCCTTCTGTTGTTTTATTTGATACGAATACTTATATTGTGCCTACAAATTTAATACCTCTGAATAAAAGTTTATATATTTTTGTTTGTGGCTTAACAAAATGGGAGTCTTTAAATGGTGCGGATATTTGGGGAAATGGGTGTGGTTACTGGGGGTGTGACCACTGAGGGGCGCTGCGGAGCGGTGAGGGGGAGAGAAGCTGCGCCCGCAGCTGTCAGGATGGCCGAGCGGGGAGGAGATCGGAGCCGCTGTCATCCTGTCAGTTTCAGGATGACAGCAGCTCTGTGCGTGGCAGAGCGTGGGATCGGTAAATCAATGATATTTACCGGTCCTCCGTGTGAGAAGGACAAACACAGGAGCGATTGTCTGATCACTCCAGTGTTTGTAAATAACTGGGGACACATAGTACTAACTATTCAGTTATGAATGAACAGGCTGTGATTCACATCACAGCCTGTTCATTCAAGATTTACGCAATGGGGAGAAGCACTTAGTACAGAGGCTCCTCCCCATTCAGAACCTGCTGATAGTAAATATTTTACTGAATGAATGGGAAGCCTCTGTACTGACTGCTTCCCATTCATTGAGTGCTGAGGCTGCTGAAAAAGAAATTGAGGATTTGGTGTCCTCACTTTCTTTTCTATTTTAAAAGGGAAATGTCAGGGGTCTGTTTGGATGCCAAGCATGCATGATGCCATGCATGCATGGCATCATGTAACGTCATGCTCCCCACCTCCAAGATGGTGGCACGCATTCACAGAACACGCCGGTGGCCAACATGGCCGCCGCACATTCTCAAACAAATTATTATGTGCCGGAATACATTTTTCGTATATCCGGGCAAATAGTAATTCATTAATTTACACGTAGTCTTGAAAAAAGGGATCGGCATGACAACCTGACACTTTATGTTTATAGATTCTTTTTTAGTTTGACATTTATTGTTTATCACTTGTTTGCCTTCTGTTGTTTTATTTGATACGAATACTTATATTGTGCCTACAAATTTAATACCTCTGAATAAAAGTTTATATATTTTTGTTTGTGGCTTAACAAAATGGGAGTCTTTAAATGGTGCGGATATTTGGGGAAATGGGTGTGGTTACTGGGGGTGTGACCACTGAGGGGCGCTGTAAAGCTTTCTCGCATGGGGCGCCTAAGGCCGGCCCTGGTTATCTCCATTCCTGTGTCCAGAATTTGAGTGGCCAGCGCATGCTGATGGCACAGGTGTGCACAGCCTTTAAAATAAAGGTGTTGCGAAGGGTTCAAGGCTCCACCGGCCAGACAGGAAGGCTCCACCCAGGAGTCAGAGTGGAGTCCAGTGCAGCAGGGTGCTGCGGATTGAAAAAACCCCCAGTGTGCACACAACTGTGACTGTCTGGAGGTACAGACAGTGGGCTGAGGCCGGAGCAGCGGTGCTGTAAATGCAAAGCCAGGAGGCTGGCTGGGCATGTGCTGCCATGAGATGCTAAAGAACCCCTGAGAGGGTAATTACTTTATGTTTGTGAACTTTCGTTTAAATAAAAGTGGGAAGGAAGCCCTGAAAAGAACATGTTTGCGAGTGGACTCCGTCCTTAATGCGCTACCATTTGGAGCTAATCCACAAAGTACTTGAACTGATTTTTAAGATTTCAAGGGCTTGTTCACACCATAAACAGTGCGTTCCAGAGCGGTCAGCTGATGGAACGCACTGTGTCACATCTCGGGCCAGTTTCCTCCGCACACTTTCATATAGTTGGATTTTGTGCATGACTTTTGTGGAGTGTTTACCCAACATAATTCATTTTTGCCTTCTAGAATCCTGGAAAATCACTTTCAGACACAGAAGGAAGGTTACGAAAAGGAGGTTGAGCTGTTGAACTTCAAAGTAAACCATTTTAGTGATGACATAAAAAATTTTCAAAAGTCGTTGCAGGAAGAGAAGGATACAAATGATGCCCTCAGAGAAGAGATTATAAGGCTGACATCTGAGAATAAGGTTTGAATGACTAAAGACTAGGAAAATTGCATTTGTCTGTTAGTCCTCGGACATATTAATGACATCCACTGAAGCGCAGTGTTTAGTCTGCAGCAGCAGAGGAAGGTGAATAGAATAGTACTTGTGTTAAACGTTATAGCAAGGGTTTGGCATTCCAGCCGTTACGGAACTACAACTACCATAAGGCATTGCAAGACTCTGAAAGCTACAGGCATTAGTTCCAGAAAGAAAAGGCATGATGAGTTTTGAAGTTTTACAACAGCTGGAGTGTCTTGGTTGCCTACCACTACGTTATAGTCTTGGGACTCTGTAAAACAGGAATTTTGATAATGATATTTACCAATTAATAGATTTGATGTGTACCACTTGCAGCCAGCAAGTGGAGCAGTATGCTCTTAATGATCTCTGTGCAGTTTTGTGCTATGAATAGACGAGAATAGCAGACCCACCACCTTTCCTCTCTCCTAACAGAAATGGAAACATGTAAATCCACACAGGCTGCAAAAAGCATACAGACAGTGCTGGGCTTTATCATCAGGTAGTCCAGCATGGTTTGCAAAACACACCCTGGAAGAAAGGCTTATTTGTAAATGTAAAAAAATATATATACAAATGAGTAAAACATAAACATGAAACATGTTTATAAACCTGTATCTTCCCCAAAACATTATTCTTTATATTTCAAAATATATGTTTGTTAAAAAAAGATCGCTTAATCACATTGTTATTGCTTTTCCCTTTCAAGGCCATAACATCTCTTAATGATAAAATTTCTGAACTTGAAAAGGAAAATCTGGATCTCCAAGGCTGCATCTATGAACAGAGCATGAAAATGCCAGGTATCAGTGCATTGGACTCTTATGTTGAAGACTGTTATTACACAATTATTTAATGCTTTCTGTATTTTTATTTGGCTCCCCAGATGCCATTAAACGGGGTAACAGGTCTACTACTTCCTACATACTTACCTTTCCCATGCTTCCCCACTGGTCCATTCACCAACTAGAGCCATGAGAAATATCAAAAATGCCCAGTATGGGGAAGCGTGCTTTTCTCTCCTCTGTCACTGGATGCTGCCAATCATAAGGCTCAACACTGTCATCTAGGGATGGAGGAAGGATCCTTACTCTGTTCAAGCTCTGACCAACCTAATGCTTACACAGAGTTTTTCCTTATGGCTCTAGAGGATAAATGGAGCCGCAGGCAAGAACAGGGAAGGTATTAGTAGAGGATGAGGTGGCAGGCTATTGTGTCAGTCTGTTAGTTCTTCCTTAACAGGGGAAGTACAGGTTTACCCTAATGTTACAATAATATGTGTATAATAAGTGCACACAAGATTTATAGAATCTTTATACTATGCGTTATACTGGCCATAGATATGCCAATTTTATGGTTAATATATTGTATTTAACATTAAAGAAAATATTGGCTGGAGTTAAGCTTTGAGAGCTATTTCCTTGTACTCAAGACATGACATGAGGGAGATCTGCTAGTCTGTGTTCAGCCAAACTAAATAATAGCACCTGGTCTGTCTGTGCATTTTCTCTGTGTGACAATGCTCTGTTTAAATGCATTGTTTCTATTTTAGTAGCTGTAAAATAAGAGTTTTTGACACTAATCAAGCTACACCCACCCAGTCATGAGGTTTACTACTGTAACACAATGCTCTTTGTCAACAGAACTAAATATAAGAACATCCTTGTAGTTCATAATATGTTGATTTTGTGCAGCGCTTGTGACATAATTCTGCTGTTACCCAACTATTATTTTTCCGTGTGTTCTTATTTACATATGTTATATAATATTTTCAATGTTGCAGACAAAGGAGACAGAATTTTTAATCATAAACATTACCTGGAAGATGAGGAAATGTCACAAAAGTAAGTGATTATGTCACACTCCTTGTGTGTTTCCTCCTCTGCTCTTCATACACATGCAACTACTGCATATCTGTCCTCTTACTAATCTGAAAACCCTGCAAAAACAAATAAGAACAGATTTATAGCTTCACATGACTTCCAGATCTTTGCCAAGGAAAATGTCTTAATAGTGTTTTGGAGAATTTACAGAAGGACATCAATCAGGCACCCATCTACTGCAAATCAGGCGGCCTCTCATTTAGCAAAGTATATGTGCCAGTTTTTGTTTTGTATATATGTGACCTCTGCACCGACAATGCTGGGCAGACCAGCAAACAGTTTTGCAAAGGACTGACACATATTTAATACTGTATATGAGACTTGCACAGTTAAGAAGTAGTTAGGGGCAGGTTTTATATTGTCGCTGTGCTACTTTAGGTAACATTTTATTAATTAAAGTGCATGTGAAAATTAAGATTAAAAGTTGGGGACTACGTTGCTTTCTTGCTCACTAAACTCTGTTATCTCTGTCATGTACATGAAAGGTCTAAAAGTGAGTAAATTTCTGGTGATCCTTCCAGTCCCCTTCTGAAAAACCTACTTGTTGTTTTTTTTACTGACCACACTAGGCATGGAAGCAGATCTGTCCCAGCATGGTCAGTTTGTGCCTTTGCTTTCTACTTGAGAGCTACAGAATGCCATGCAAACACACAGTGTACCTGTAGTCCAGAAGTCAGATTACGTCTCTCTTACATTAAACTTTAGAATCTGTTGATCTGCGCTTGTGGATAATATATTAATAATATGGGAAATAAAGCTGCCACAATAACAGACTGAAAAGCCCTAAGAAATTGAATAGAGATTTTGCGGTGCTAAATCCCCTACAGTGCTTGTAACTAAATAAATGAACACTTTCATGTGCTGTGAACAATGCAAACTTCTATCTGTGACCAAAATGTCCTTAATCAGGAAATGTGAATAAACACAAATTCTTATTGTGAAGAAATAAAAAATAGTCAATAAATAGTAAAACAGAGAGACCATATGGTCTATCACAATTGTAGTAACAATATGAACCAATAATGACAGTAAAAAATTGAACCAATAATGACAGTAAAAAATTGAACCATTAATAACAGTAACAAATTGAAAAAGGTGTACCGCAACCATACGGCTGTGGGCCAATGCTCCTTCCCTTCCGCCAGTGCTGCTGTATATGCTGTATATGTATTATTATGTAATACATATACAGCATACATATACAGCATATATAGTATATATATGCTGTATATGTATTATTATATTATGATTTTACGGGTACAGATATTACAGCAGCACTGGCGGATAGACCATATGGTCTCTCTTTTTTTACTATTTATTTACAATAAACTTTATTTTTTCTTTGGACAACTGCGTTTTTCTGCTCTTTTTTGAAGGATACCTCACTTTCAATATTTTATTAATATTGAAAGTGATATTTAATGCTATATTATAATTTGTATTAAAACTGTGTAAAGGAACTTGAACAGAAGCACAATAAGTCACATATTTGCACTACTTCAGTGTCTATTCATCAGTACCCAAATGCGCACATGCTTGTCTTAGGAAGGGCAGGGAAAGTCCATACATGAGAAATATATAATTGTAGTCATTCAGCAACAACTGTTATATATATTGCTTTAAACCCTAGCTTTTCATACCACATGATAATTGGCTGAATGTGCTATATATAGGAATTAGCAGAAAGGAAAATGCAGGTTTACTTTTGTGTGCACATCTGTCATAATATTTTGCAGATTTGTTCCTTCAGTCCTTCTAATTTCCAATTTTTTTCCCTCATGTCAATCACATGTAGATAAAAAAATGCTTGATTTTTATCATTAACAAATCTTATGTCATCTTTTGGTTTTTATCCATGACTGCTTTTTATTAAAAAATATTGTTTATATTTTATATATTATGATTGCAACCCCAATCTCTCCTTTCCTTTAGACTTCAAAGGAGACGGACAGATCAACATGCAAATGAAGAACCTGATGGCAAAGTCCAAAAAATTCAAGAGCACAGCATTCTCCTAAAAGAGCCAAATGAAATGGACGGCCAGGTAAATGACTAAATAGACTCAATTACCAAAAGTATATCACTTTCATCCAGTGCATTATTTGCTTATTCCAACATTCAAATTGTCCTATGTTCAATTCAGTAAAGACCTTGCAGCATGCATGAGGTGAATATACCACACTGATTTAGAGCACCTTATGAGATGATAAAGTTATCAATATTAAATTTAGATTTAATATGGAAGAATGATTCCAGATGCATCATTGATGCAAGGATGAACATGAGATAACATAATAATAACTCATGTGGCTTTGGGAATTTAGGGAAACATATCCAGAGAGTTGTTTTTTTGTCTGCATAAAGAATAGAAAACTATCAGAAAAAAAGAAGCTCTGCAGGCCACATTATAAGGTCATATCACTTTAAATTGGCTAAACCAGGAGCCATAGTTGACAGGATTTACTTGTCTGAAACTAGGGATGTTCAAATTCCAGTTCAGATACAAGTGCCGATTCTTGGCATTTTCACGAGAACTACCAGGGTTGCAGCGGTTGCAGCTGGGACCTAGCCCTGGTACTCCACCACTGTCCTGAAATCATTAGTCTGTATTTTTCTAGAAAAACTGTCACATGACACTAAACAAAAATGTGTCAGTAATTGTATCTGTGAGTTCTTGGACAAGTGTCAGTACTTGTACTTGGTCAGGAAAAAATTGTACCGGTGCATCCCTAATATATAAACAGGGATGCACAAATCCCATGAGCCCCGTAGCCAATGCTTCCTAAAAATGACAGCTGCCTCCTAACTTTTGGGTTTTTCTCTAGTCTAGTCTTGGAGCTGAAAAAGTATCTGTACATACACTTGTACCAAGTAGGGTCCTTGGTATCTGTGCATCCCTATCTAAAACCAGTGACTCTGCCTTCTTAGTAGGCTGCATAACACTTGCAAATACAGTACAAGCTTTTATTTAAGTTTTTTGGGAAACAAAGAAAAGGAAGTAAATGGTGAAGTGTGTATTGACTGAAAAATATTTGCGGCATTTGCATGTCAACAAAAAAGCTTATTGTATGGTAAAGAATGTTTAGTCATTTTGTGGGGAAAGTTTAACTTCCTCGCAATATAGTCATCAAAGCAGTTAACAGAAAACTATTCTAATATCAGTTCAGTTAGGAATGCTCTGTTGTTTTGTCTCCTTATCTGAATGCTATATTGTGATATAACTGACTGACCACTTTAGGTTTGGGTCATGAAGAATGACATGTAGTGTTGAACTAAAACAATAAAAAAAGTTCAAGTCCAAACAACAGTTTTGATAGCAACCCATGAGAACTCACCTTCTTCTACTGTAATCTGGCTTTAGTAAAGTGAATTTAGCTTCAATTGTTTGGGTTGCAGTACTTCACACTTGGCATTCTGCTGCTTGCACTGTTATCTAAATAGGACCAGAAATGACAGTCCAGCAGCAAGTCAGCATATCAGGATTTATATATGCTGATGATATATACCATCGCCAAGCAGGGACATAACAACATCATCGCCAAGCAGGGACATAATCACCTAAGAGGAAACAGGTGCTACACTAGGAGTATTGTCTCCTTTAAACCTTGAAGTTCTTTATGGCCGTAGAGTGCATGGGTCTCATAGGAGGAGTGGATGAGTGCTCTGAACAACGTTGTTCTTTTATGAAAACAATTTGAGAGGTGATATTATGGGTGCAATACTTTGATGTTTTTTCAAATAAAGTTAATATTTTTATAATCAATTTACTGGTCTCGGTTTACTTTGTAACCGCTTTGGGACAGTGCTCCACACCTGGAACTCTGTTGCCTCCTTTCTTTTGCATATGAATTTTGGTTACGTAAACCTTGATGACCAATCACCACCCTACCAAAGGGGATAAATTATATATATCGGAGCTCCAGGGTAACCACACCCCCGTTTTTCATTACCAGGTATTTCCCCATGCATTATTGAATAAGAAGAGAACAGATACACATACACGTATAAATACATTTTGGGGGTAACATACACTTTTATTAGTGCAAAAACACATTTAATATTTTAACAGTTTAGTTATTGTTATAGACCATTTCTCAATCAAGCTCACAAACAGAATGCTAATGATGAATCAATTTTATTCTATTAAATGCTGATGTTATCATAAATGGCCGCCTAACAGCCCAATTCCATTTAAAAAAAATATATATATGAACAAAATGACTGGTGTCCATGTTTCTCTTTCTGTCATTTACACATGCAGAAGATTCAATCTTTGTTCCTGTGTGGCCGGTCTCTCAGCTAGTCATAGCTGACCAGATCTGAATGTGTTAAAAAGCTCTGCTCTGTTAAAGTATGAAGAGTGTTCTTCTTGGTATATGATGTGCTAGTAATCATGATGTAGTGTAAGAGTATATACACACAAAAAGATTAGCCCAAAATGAGGTCCTGAAATTGTAGCCGCACCATTCTTGCGAGAACATTTTTTACTTGTTTATATTTGGAGATTTTAGCAGCTCATCTGGTCAAAACTCTATGCTAGATACTATTTGTTTTCTACTTTTACATAGGACTTTGAAGAACAAGTGGATAAAAAGGATAGGATTATCAAGAAACTACAAGATCAGATCAGAGCTCTCACAAAAACCATGGAAGTTGGTGAGTCAGTTGTATGTACTTTGTAGACATGCTGTGGGCACTATGACCAGCAAAAGTTCAGTACCCTACACTCCCTGGGCTGCAAGATCCTCAAAAATACAACCCCACATCTAAAAAAGTTGGGACGGTGTGTAAAAACTGCATAAAAACAGAATGCAATGGTTTGCAAATCACATAAACCCAGATTTTATTTACAATAGAAAATAGAAAACATATCAAATGTTTAAACTGAGAAAATGGACCATTTTAGGAAAAAAGAAGTTAATTTTTAAATTGATGGCAGCAACACATCTCAAAAAAGTTGGGACAGGGCCATGTTTACCACGGTGTTCTTTTAACAAAACTCTCTACATGTCTGTGAACTGAAGGGACCTGTTGCTGGAGTTTTGGAAGAGGAATGTTGGCCCATATATGATTCTAACTGCTCAACAGTCCTGGGTCTTCTTTGTCGTATTTTCCGTTTTAAGATGTGCCAATTATTTTCAATTGGTGAAAGGTCTGGACTGCAGGCATGCCAGTTAGACACCCGGACTCTACTGCTATGAAGCCATGCTGTTGTCATAGATGCAGTATGCGGTTTAGCAGTGTCCTGTTGAAATATGCAAGGCCTTCCCTGAAAAAGACGTCTAGATGGGAGCATAGGCTGCTCTAAAACCTGGATATATCTTTTAGCATTGATGGTGTCTTTCCAGGTGTGCAAGTTGCCCATTGCATATGCACTAATGCACCCCCATGCCATCAGAGACAATTGTGTATATGTGTTACACTTAACCTTGAGTGCCCACGAAGTATCAAATTTGCTGCTGAGCCAAGAATTAGAGGATCAGAGCTTAGACAAGCTAAAGACAGACAGTTGTGTTCCTGAGAACAACTAGTGAGACAGCTGTTCACTACAGGACCAGCACCCAGTGCAATGTTCTGTCCAGCTCAACCAAAGGTTGAAGGTGATACAAATGGAGTCTTTTTCTCTTTTCTCTACAGGATTTCCTGTCCACACCTACATTTTCCAGCTTTGTTCAGTAGCAGGCACTTCCTATGGTCAGGAATACTTGTTATCAAATCCCTTAGGCTGTGGTCTGATTTTTGCAAGCGGTGCTTCCAAAAATTGGGTCATGTATATGCACCCTTATGGTTATTGCTAAGTAAGAAAAAAATAATCTGTAAACATAGCAACAAAACAACATTTTAAGATAACCACAGGGACGTGCCACATAGACTGGCAGAAGAAACCATCATGTGAGTGGATTTCTACCCCAAGAGAATCATGCTTTTTATTACTCTGCACAATATGACCCATCCCTTGATGTCACCCAAGGCATTGATCTTGATGCTGTATCCTTCCGATTCTTCTCCAAACTGCAGTTGGGATCATTATTGCCCATCCTCTATCAACCCTTTCCAATCCCCTGCTCCCCTTCCTGTCATCTCCCCTTTATTTGTAGCTATCATTTTTGCTTTTGCATGCTCCTGTATAGATTTGGAAAAGAGACAGTAATACTGGTCACTTTGTCTCTTTCTTCCAACCACTGTGTAGAGGTTGCAGTGAATGACAGATGGCTGAATAAGATTCTAATCTTTGTTCATAACTGAAACAAATCAGAAATTGGCAAAGTAGGGGCACCTCATGACATCTAACCAATGTGTTCTCTCTCAGAAAACCAAACAAGCGTGCCAAGTGTTTTTAAAGATTATTTGGGAATGCTGGAGTTTTCACCAGAAGAAGAAACAAGGCTTGTAGTCAGTCTTATCCTGGGTATGTACAATTGTTTCAGCATAACATACAGTATGTCTTAAGTGAGTGTCAAAAAAACAGATTATTATATACATACATTGTACTAAAAGCATTGCAACAAATTACATAGCAGCTTTTAAACTAGGACTGAAAACCTCTCCCATTCTCCTCCTTTCCTTTACATAGACGGGTAATGCTTTGTGGTTTACAGAAAATGAGAAGGCTTTAAACATTGTTTAAGATCTCAGTTCAGTACACAGGCAGTTACAAGGATGTACCATTTCTGACAGGATCAGCAGACATTATTCTGGACTTCAGAAAATTTTCTTAGCCTTAAAAAAGAAAACAAATGCAGCCTCCAGATCTAAGGACTTGCAGCATTTAATATATTGCATTTTTGTTTTTGAGTTTAGAAATATTGTAAGCAGTATACAGTCAATAAAGGTCACATATCAAAATGTGTTAAAAGAGAACTATGGCCTAACCTTTTTTTTCCATAGTTCTCTTCAGGGTCTTAGGAGGACATATACTAATGTCCTTCGGTGACCCAAAATGCTATTGCCTGCTATATGCTGAGAGCGCAGAACCGCACCGCAGCCAGGAAGGATCCCAACAGTACTGTCGAGATCCACCCCCCTGGCTGATTGACAGCGGGCTCTGCCTATCTTGAGTCAGAGCTAGCTGTGCCCGCCCCCTCCCACGTCCGTTCCCCCAGTCAGCGCTGGAGGATCGGAGAGGGGAGGGGGGAATCCCTGTGGAGAGCGGTGACTGACAGTGACCACTCCCTGCTGGGAGAGAATCAGCAGTATCTGTTTGCTGACTTCCCGATCAATAGAGCCGACCTGTGACAGCATCAGTGTTCAGTTTCACTCACCCCATAATTCTCCTTTAATTATAGAAGACTTATAGTGTTTCCAGGGACAGGAAACAAACAACCAGTGGTGCCCAAGCTACATCCCTCCAAAGTCAAACTTTTTTTTAGAATGTTGACCTGCTTATCCTAACCTGACTTAGGAAATATGACAGTGTGTATATGAGGCAATGTAACATAACTGTGTTTCTACTGGTAATAGAAAAAATATATGGCTTATAAACATAAATGAAAAGGCCGCCTTTTTGATTACTAATTGCTAGTAACATGGTAATATAGGCTTACAATATCAGTTTCAGGGTTCCTGGACTTGAACTGCACATGTTTGCTTGCTTTGTATAATGTGAATTCTTTACTCCATTATGACAGATCTGAAGCCACGGGGAGTTGTAGTGAATATGATCCCAGGTCTACCCGCTCACATCCTATTTATGTGTGTTAGATTCACGGATTACATTAACGATGCAGACAGAATCAAATCTCTGATGAATGCTTCCATTAATGGCATTAAACAAGTTATTAAGGTAAGGTTAAACATTTTCATAAGTCTTGGTTCCTACAATGTGCATTTTCAGGGCCTAGTCTCTCATGCAGCTATGTATGAGCACATACATGTCGCAGTCAGTATATCATACCAGAGATACCCTTCTTGGGACATTTAGCATGTCTGTGCACAGTCCGTACAAAATATCCACAGAAAAGAGACACAAGAGGCTTCATTGTCAGTTGGAGTCATGCCACTGTCCTTAGAATGTGATATTTGCAGACTACAAAATAGAAAAATACAAAATACAAAAGGGATGACTTATAATGGAAAGAGAACTCAAGTTGTGTTTTTTACTTAACACATAGGGGGTTAGTTACTAAGCTGCCAGAGGAATAACTGACCAGTTATTGGCTCTTCGGCCATTCGCAGCAGCTTTGTACGGCTATTTTTAACCGTACAGCTCACTTCCATTTGATTCAGCAGAACAGCCTAAGCACGTTCTGCTGAACCAAAGGGAAGAATCCAATCGCCTCAGCTGATGCAACATCTGGATCAGGTGAGGCGAACGTTCAGCAGTTTATTTGCTGCTGTTCCCCCCTATTTTCATAGGGCAGCAGAGAGTTAAAGGAGAACTATGAGGTGAGTGATTTTCACTCAACCTCATAGTTCGAGCCAACCTGTGACAATGAGACTGTCACACGTCGGCTCAATAGATCGGGAAGTGAGCGAACACATACCGTTGCTCGCTCACTTCTTGATCTCACTCACGGCTCCCTGCAGGGATTCCCCCCCTTCCCTGTCCGATCCTTCCCCCCCTTCCCTGTCCGATCCTCCAGCGCTGACTGGCGGAACGGACGGGGGAGGGGGCGGGTACAGCTGGCTCTGCCTCTAGATCGTCAGAGCCAGCTGTCACTCACGCAGCTGGGTGGATCTCCACAGTAATGTCAGGATCCATCCCGGCTGCCGCGGTCTCAGTATACCGTGAGCTGTAGCTCGCTATATACTGAGCTTTGGGTCACGGGAGGACGCTACTTTATGTCCTCCCGTGACCCTTAGGAGAACTATGGGGAAAAACACCCCATAGTTCTCCTTTAATTGGCGAATGCTGCTGAACAGAATGAAACTATCGTTGTAAAATGAAGGAAAAAAGCAAACGGCGCGTGGTCTCCCATTTCAGGTCAGTGAGCTGTCATGGCATGAAAACAAATGGGCGGTGCTAGTCCCGTGGATTGCAGCATCTTTGTCTTTGTGTTTTTGTTCAATTAAAGGATTTTTTCAAAAGTGTGGTGTCTTTATTTACTTTTGATTTAACTCTGAAATGAAAAGGGGTTACCCAGGTGCAGAGGAGCCCCCTGCCCGCAGACCTCCACAACCATCGAGCCAGGGTTGTAGGGAAGAGGCCCTTGCCCTCATCGACATGGGGACAAGGTGCTTTTCCAGGGGGTCCATCCCTGGAAAAGCGCTCTCCCAATCCCGAGGGCATGTGGCCTGGTATGGTGTGGGGGAGGGGGCGCTTGCTCAGCCCCCTCCCCTTTCCTGCCCAGCCAGGCCAGTGCTCAGATTAAGGGTCTGGTAGGGAATAACCCCACGTTTTTATTTGGGGGGGGGGGGCGTTTTATTTTTCTTCGGTTCAGCTGAACCAAAGGCTTTGTGCAGTTAAAGTGATCCGAAGGATTAGCCGTTCAGCTACATCCTTCGGGTCTTTAGTGAATAACCCCATAATGACATGTTATAATATAAGAAATCTGTGAATTTATTACCTAGAAATCTGCTTTTTTTACTACAAGGTTTTTTATTTGTTTATTTTATGTAGGAACATGCAGATGATTTTGAAATGTTGTCTTTCTGGCTGTCCAATGCACATCATTTCCTTAACTGTTTGAAGCAATACAGTGGAGAAGAGGTAGGTGCAAACAATCTAGGTGCATAAAGAAAAATGTGGTTTCAGATGTCTCACTGTATAGTTCAGTGCTCCTATCTCAGCCCAACTGTTACTCTCTAGACACCTGCCTATATGACAGGGGACTTGCACTCTTCACGCCTACTTTATTTCTTTTCAGAGACTTAAATTGCTTTGCAGATCTGAGCAAATGAAATGCAATCTTTTATTTTAATGCAGGTCATTATGCTGCTTCTATATTTTGTAAGAAGTTTTCCAGAAATTGATTTACAGCTGCTTACTATTAATCAAAAACATTTTTTACATTTCTTTGCCAGTAACGATATTGACATTTTGTAGCACTTTTTCTGCCCTAAAAAGCGCTAAAAAAATGCCCCCCCCAAAATCCCATTTATTTCTATGGCCCTGCTCACATCTGAGCATTTTGTCGCAATAAACAAAACGACTGTCGCTGGAAAAAGTACATGAGCTTTTTTGGGCATATTACAGTTCGATTTGGCCCCATAGACCTAATAGGAAACGATTGAAAAAGCGCAGTTGCTGTGTTTTTGCATGCGTTTTACGCTCATTTGCTTATTCATGACAATGAGCTTCAATCTGCTCACAAAAGCGTGCAATCTGATTTATGCGCATGAAACGTGCGTACAAATGTGCAAAAAGCGCACAAAAACCTGCGTAGAAACGCGCATAAACGCTGTCACCTAGTTGTGACCTCAGCGTTAAGCTACTGAAAAATAGTGTTTTTAATGCTGTCTGTATTTCCTCTAACTTTTTGTTCCGTTGACATGTTGCCTCTGGGACAGGAAGTGAAGGGAATCGCCTCAACAGAAAGCAGTAAAACCTGACAGAGGTTCTTACCCTTTCCCGCTCTATGTAAAAGTAAATAAAGTTAGGCTGGAGATACATTTTAAAGGAAATGTGTGCTGAGAGCAATATAAAGGCAGCCATTGCTGAATTATTTTTCTAAAACAAGCTAGTTGCCAGGATCTTTATATATATAATCTGATTTACTGACCTAGAACAAGATTGCAGAGCAGGTGTTCTGACTTCAATGGCTATGTGTCACAGAAAGTTGTGACACCATTGAAACAGCATGACTGCATGGCAATAACTATTTACAGATGGAGATTAGCAGCGACAGTCACTGTAGTTTTTCTCAGCACATGTTCTCTTTAAGTTACATTCAGTGAGTTACAGTAGGGAATGAGATGAGAGTGAACAAGTAAATAAGACTAATCTATTTTTCATCAATGTGTAATCCAAAGTCAAACTTTTCAGGACTCATATGACGCTGATGTCTTAAGTGTAGGACATTTAGGAATTGATTACTAATGTACTAAAGAATGTTTTCCACTTAAAGTGACTCTATATTCAAGAGTTACATTTTAAGAATGCATTCAAGTACCTTTACTATTAACAAAAATGTATCTTATTTGTGTATCACTCGGCTGTAGATCCTCAAATCATCTCTGAATTGGTGCTGACATTATCCTTCCTTCAGAAGGGTACTTTCTTTTGTTCCCCATGGTCCCTGTGTGTTTTGTAAAGTAGACACCACTCCAAGCTCGCACCCATGATAGACCATTATGGGAGTGAGCTTGGAGCGGTGACTACTTTACAACATACACAGGGATCATGGGGAACAAAAGTAGCCACCCTCCAGAAGGAAGGGCAGTGTTAGCACCAATTCAGAGATGATTTGAGGATCCACAGCCAAGCGACACAGTAGGTAAATTTATGTTAATAGTAAAGGTACTTGAATGCATTTTTAAGATTTAACTCCTAAGGTTAGTGTCACTTTACAGCTATGCTAATTTTTTATACCCAATCAAGTAATTTCTCTACATTGTGTTTCTTTGAATTTTGATAGTGCTGATGAACCACATTTGTCCTTAGGTTTCAGAGGGATGCCATTACACTTTCCCAGTTTTCTTTATGCAAATATTTCTAAGTGTGCTTAAAAAATGGAGTAGAAACAGTATAATGAACACATAGTTAACACAGTGCCAAAGTCCTCATGTTCATAATTCAAGACTATAAAAATGTAACAGTGCAAGAAACTGGAAGAAAACTGGACTTTGAGTTGAAGTCTTTTAGCCCTCCACCAAATATAGCTTCACTTGGATACACACATATAGGTGGGCACAGTGCCAAAGTGTTTCTATGAATAGAATGTAACACTGCTGAGAGTGAAGCTTACTGTCCAATTTCCCAAACACTGACACCCATGTCACTGTCTTTTCTGTTCTCATTCTGTAATCTCTGCTAATAATCCTCATGTGCTTCCATTTTGCAGGAGTTCATGAAGTACAATGTGCCACTTCAGAATAAGAACTGTCTGAAGAATTTTGATTTATCAGAATATAGACAGATTATCAGTGATCTGGCTATTCGTATCTACCATCAGTTCATTACAGTGATGGAGAACAATCTCCAGCCAATGATAGGTAAGGCTGGACTGTGAAAGTGTTTATCATTTGAGATGGCAAATACTTAGGTCACAAGAAATTCTACCCATAGGAATTCTCAATAGAACAAGTGCATTAATCAATGGAAACCAATGAGATTTAAAGGAGAATTATGAGGCGAGTGATTTTTACTCAGCCTCATAACCTGAGCCGACCTGTGACAATGAAACTGTCACAGGTCGGCTCCGTAGATCAGGAAGTGAGCGAACACATACCGTCGGTCGCTCACTTCTCGATCTATCCCTGCAGAGAGCCGCGACTGTCACTCACGCCTCCCTGCAGAGATTCCTCCCCTGTCCGATCCTCCAGCGCTGCCTGGTGAAACGGATGGGGGAGTGGGCGGGCACAGCTGGCTCTGCCTCTGGATAGGCAGAGCCAGCTGTCAATCCCGCGGCTGGGTGGATCCAGACAGTATTGTCGGGATCTGTCCCGGCTGCGGCGTCTCAGTATACCGCGGGCTGTAGCTCGCGGTATACTGAGCTTTGGGTCATTGGAGAACACTAGTTTGTGTTCTCCCGTGACCCTTAGGAGAACTATGGGGAAAAGCACTGACCCCATAGTTCTCCTTTAAGTCAGACATGTTCAAGTTGGACACCTACTGGCTGCTGTTCTCACATCTAAAAGTTGTGTAATAGGTCAGCTGACTTTAGGATAAATGTAGGCATGAAATAATTATTGGCATCATTTGTGCTCTTTACACTGACCTCACTAAGTAGAATTTGGAGCCTCACGGTGGTCTCTGTGGAGACTTACAAAGGATATGCTTAGTGAAGCACAAGAGAAACTTGTGGAGTTTCTTGGGTTGTTGACCATGACTATTAAGGTGGTAGCCTGGGCATAATTCAGACTACTTATGTCAAGAGCAGCTGAACCTCGTGAGCTCTAATAGGTAAACTGGCTAAGTATCCATCATCAAGTGTGTCTCAGGTACAATGGCAAGTATTTGTAATGATACTATGGATTTGTGCAATTAAAGGCTTTCTAATGATGCATTATTGCAGTGCCCGGCATGTTGGAATATGAAAGCCTTCATGGAATATCAGTCGCAAAACCCACAGGATTCCGCAAACGCTCATCTAGCATCGATGACACAGATGCGTATACCATGACGTCCATTCTCCAACAGCTGAGTTATTTTTATACCACCATGTGTCAGCATGGCATGGACCCTGAACTTCAGAAACAAGTTGTGAAGCAACTATTCTTCCTGATTTCCACTGTCACACTAAATAGCCTTTTCCTGCGTAAGGACATGTGCTCTTGTAGAAAAGGAATGCAGATAAGGTATGAGCATTAATCATAAATATGAATAGATTCATTTGCAGTGTACTCATTTTGTCATATTTTATTATACTGTGCAGGATTTAATGGCAAAAATACTATTCGGAGCAACAAGGTTAATGTTTCTAGCTTTTGGAGAAGTCCATATACTGACTGAAAGCCTCCCTTTCTGCACATTGTGAGGGTACATTGTCTACCCAGAAATGTCATTTGAAATATGAGCAGTATATATTCAAAGGTTTTTTTATTTTAAAAAAAGTCAGTGTTTGGATAGCAATTAGAAGGGCAAACACTCAGTGGAAACTTATATGTTTACCAAGAGAAAATCATTTTTCGGCACCAGTTTGGCACAGAGACTGCAGGGATTTGGTGTTTATAATATATTCATCTTGAGAGTGTTGGGAGTTACTTAAGAGTTAGATTAAGGATTAAGGTTAGTGGGATAATTGGGTTCAGGGTTTACATTGGTTAAAGTTATGATGTAAATTTGGGATGCATTCGGTGCCAATACCGAGTATTTGGGCGAGTACGAGTACCCGCCCAAAAGCTCCAATACCAGAACTTCCGGTCAGAGGAAGATTTCCTCTGACTGGCAGTGCTGCGAGGGAACATGGAGCCAGCTTCCCGGCCAATCAGGAAGCCGGGAAGCAGGTAATTACTTCCCCCCCTGCATCCTGATTGGCCGGGAAGCCATCTCCATGCTGATTGGCTGGGAAGCCAGCTTAGTGTCAGAAAGCAGATAGAGGGTTGAGACAAACCATTTAGCCCATCTAAATGTGCAGGGCTTGAAAAATCCACTCATCCACTCGTCTGTGACGAGAGGACGGCGGAGCCCGACGAGCAGCTTCCCGGCCTTCCGGCTGGCAGTGACAGCTGTACTACTGGCAGCTGTCACTGCCGTTGCCAATCCCGAGATCTGCTGTGCCCGATGCGGCCGGGACCGGCAAGGCTCTGTGACAGGAGATCAAAGGGAGATCAGTACACGATCTCCCTTTGATCTCCTCTCAGTCCCGGAATGCTGATGAAGCAGATCTCTGCTACATCAGCTTCCCTGGGGGTCCCTAGATGGCATTAGAGGTCTTGGAGACCCCTGATGTCTTCATAAAGAGGACCTGTCATGTAAATTGGCTATCACATAGGGGGATTCTTAGCCCCCCCCCCATGTGATAGCAATAAAGTTGTGTAAAATAAAAAAAGTAATACAACAATTAAAGAATCATAAAAAAATAAAGAACCATTAAAAAAATGTTTAAAAGAAAAAAATATATATTTTTAAGTCCTCCGCCCCCCACATACACAAGCATATATGCGTCGGGTGCGCCTACGTGCGAAAACAAGGATTGTGTCCATTGTGCCGCACATGTTACATATAAACGCGAACGTCGGAGTGTGAGCAATAATTAATGACTGATAACACTAAACTTAGGAGTGCTTAAAGCGCTTTAAGCGTTGCCTATGGCCAATTTTCAGTGTGGACGTTTTTTGCAATTTTGCGGGCGCACGCAATTTTAAGGCTTGACATGTTTGGTGTCTATTTACCTGACTTGACCCTGTCTTTTATGTTTCACCAAAAATATGGGTAAGAAAAGATGTTTTCTAACATAACGTAGGGGAAACATTTTTTAATTCGAAATTTACGGTACTTCTTTTATTATATAGTAAAAAATAACCCCCCAGCTGTGATTTTATATACCTCCAAAAGAAAGCTGTCTGTCCCCAAAAAATGTTAACATAAATTGCAAGTCTATAGTCCGGTCATGCTGACTGGTGACATTTTTGACTGACTGGTGAGACACCCTCAAATTTTTCAAGCCCTGTAAATGTGCTAGTACATCTAACACCCTTTTCACAGGTTGACAATGCTGTTGCTCAAGGCTGGATCCATCTTAAGAGAGGAAGTGTATTACTGGCCGGATCATCAAGTGAAAATAAAGGAAAAAAAGGCTGAAAGGATTTAAGTAGGGATGTTCAGATACCAGTGCAGATACCAGGCATTTTCAAGAGAACTACCAGGGTTGCAGAGGTTGCAGCTGCGACTGGGCCCTGGTTCTTCACTACTGTCCTGAAATCACTAGTCTGTATTGTTTTAGAAAAACTGTCACATGACACTAAACAAAAAGGTATCAGTAATTGGTATCTGTGAGTACCTGCACAAGTATCAGTACTTGTACTTGGTTTGGAAAAAATAGTATCAGTGCATCTAATGCACCTAATATATATGTATAAAACAGATCATACATTAAAACTTGGATGCACAAATCCCAGGAGCTCCGTATGCTCCTTAAAAATGGCAGCTGCCTCCTAACTTTTGAGTTTTTCTCTAGTCTAGTCTTGGAGCTGGAAAGGTATCGGTACTTGCACCAAGTACGGTACTTGGTATCTGAATATCCCCTGATTTAAGCATTGGTAAACTACAGAATATGGCATTTGTTGTTGTTTTTGGGTTTAGATACCATATCTTATATTCAGTTACAAACTGACTTTCCACTGGTTTGAAACATTTTACTCAAATCAATGTCACTGCTATATGCTGGTTCTTGATGGATGTTGTTTAACTGTAGATGCAATATAAGTTACATGGAAGAATGGCTGCAGGGGAAGAATCTACAAGGAAGTGCAGCCAAGGAGACTCTGGAGCCCCTTTCCCAGGCTGCATGGTTACTGCAGGTGAAAAAGATCAAAGACGAAGATGCCAAAGAAATATGTGAGCGATGTACGGCTCTTTCCCCTGTGCAGGTATGGTTTACACACTTAGTAAAATCTTTGGTGTCCATTTGTATGCATGATTCAACATGGCCATATAAAGGCAATGCTGCTTTCTTTTGAGTAGAAAAATAAAAAACATTTTAGGATATTATGAGTAGGGATGCACCAATACCGGTTTTTCGGTATTTAGTACGAGTACCGATATTTTTTGTTCGGTACTCACCGATACCGAGTACTGATACCGGTGCCATGTTCCCCGATTATCAGGAAGCAAGGCAGCGGATCATGACCCACTGCCCGGCTTCCTGATTGCCTAGGAAGCCAGTGTTCTATTGAAAGAAGGTAAGAGGTAAGTATCGGAGCATTTGGGCGAGTACTCAGTATCGGCACAAGTATTGGTATCGGTCATCCCTAATTATGAGTATGTTGTTTCATTTTGTCTACCTGGGAAGGGTGTGAAAGGCTTAGAGTGTAATTTCAATTTTATAAAAAGTTTTTTTGTCTTCGTTTTTTTAATGCTGTAGATTGTCAAGATCCTGAACTCTTACACTCCGATTGATGATTTTGAGAAACGCGTGACACCTTCATTTGTACGCAAAGTTCAGGTAATATGATTTTGAGTTAATTTTAAGAGGCAGGCTGGTATGTATAGTTGCTCCGGCTTTTAAAACTCAATTTTTAAAGCACAATACAAAACATGTTGCCTTAAACAATGATTACATTTTTCAGATAATAAAATGCGTAAACATTGTTTACACACTGCTCACCTAAATGTCTGTCTTTGTTAGTAAGAGCGACACAGACGCATTTTAAAGCAGTTTGTTGTCAAATTCCCTTCCCCTGCACAATATACAGTATCTCCCAGAAGTGAGTACACCCCTCACATTTTTGTAAATATTTTATGATATCATTTCATGTGACGATACAGAAGAAATGACACTTTGCTACAATGTAAAGAGTGCACAGATTGTATATCAGTGTACATTTGCTGTTCCCTCAAAATAACTCAACACACAGCCATTAATGTCTAAACCACTGGCAACAAAAGTGAGTACACCCCTAAGTGAAAATGTCCATTTAGCCATTTTCCCTCCCGTGACTTACAAGTGTTACTCAGGTGTGAATGGGAAGCAGGAGTGTTAAATTTGGTGTTATCGCTCTCACTCTCTCACTGGAAGTTCAACATGGCACCTCATGGCAAAGGACTCTCTGATGATCTGAAAATAAGAGTTTTTGCTCTACATAAAGATGGCCTAGGCTATAAGAAGATTGCCAAGACCCTGAAACTGAGCTGCAGCACGGTGGCCAAGACCATACAGCGGTTTAACAGTGCAGGTTCCACTCAGAACAGGCCTCGCCATGGTCGACCAAAGAAGTTGAGTGCACGTGCTCAGCGGCATATCCAGAGGTTGTCTTTGGGAAATAGACGTATTAGTGCTGCCAGCATTGCTGCAGAGGTTGAAGGGGTGGGGGGTCAGCCTGTCAGTGCTCAGACCATACGCCGCACACTGCATCAAATTGGTCTGCATGGCTGTCGTCCCAGAAGGAAGCCTCTTCTAAAGATGATGCACAAGAAAGCCTGCAGACTAAGGACATGGATTACTGGAACCATGTCCTGTGGTCTGATGAGACCAAGATAAACTTATTTGATTCAGATGGTGTCAAGCTTGTGTGGCGGCAACCAGGTGAGGAGTACACAGGCAAGTGTGTCTTGCCTACAGTCAAGCATGGTGGTGGGAGTGTCATGGTCTGGGGCTGCATGAGTGCTGCCGGCACTGGGGAGCTACAGTTCATTGAGGGAACCATGAATGCCAACATGTACTGTGACATACTGCAGTAGAGCATGATCCCCTCCCTTCGGAGGGCAGTATTCCAACATGATAACAACCCCCAAACACACCTCCAAGACGACCACTGCCTTGCTAAAGAAGCTGAGGTGATGGACTGGCCAAGCATGTCTCCAGACCTAAACCCCATTGAGCATCTGTGTGGCATCCTCTAAAGGAAGGTGGAGGAGCGCAAGGTCTCTAACATCCACCAGCTCCGTGATGTCGTCATGGAGGAGTAGAAGAGGACTCCAGTGGCAACCTGTGAAGCTCTGGTGAACTCCATGCCAAAGAGAGTTAAGGCAGTGCTGAAAAATAATGGTGGCCACACAAAATATTGTCACTTTGGGCCCAATTTGGACATTTTCACTTAGGGGTGTACTCACTTTTGTTGCCAGCGGTTTAGACATGAATGGCTGTGTGTTGAGTTATTTTGAGGGGAGAGCAAATGTACACTGATATACAAGCTGTACACTCACTACTTTACATTGTAGCAAAGTGTCATTTCTTCAGTGTCATCACATGAAATGGTATAATAAAATATTTACAAAAATGTGAGGGTTGTACTCACTTCTTTGAGATACTGTATATCTACGTACCTTTTTTCCAAGGGTCGTCTAACCAGTCTGATTATTTAATTCCTCCTGCACTGAATGGTGCTCACGTTGTAATGTTTTGAGCACTGTCAAGTGTAATCTAAGTCCAGGCTGGCATGATGACATCCCCCCTGGGACGGGTGCATGACAGACTGGGCTCAGAGGAAGTCGATTGAATGATGCTGGCTGTTATTTAACCAAGAACACTGGTGGCATGAGGTTGCAGAAAGAGACTACTATGGCAGACAGCTTTGGCTTGGAAGTGAGTAATGCAACAGAAGCTGTTTTTTTATTTTTAATAATGCTGTCCTTTTTCATTTTAAATACAAAAAGAAATGAGCTTTAAATGACCCCGCACTGTCATTAAGGATTCCCTTTAACAGTTATTAACACGGTTCCTTGATATTTGTAATATTTGTGTACATACAATAAGTCATCACCACTTGCTTACTTTGTTCTTTTAATCAGTAAGCAACTTCTCTTTGGCTCATATTTTGTGCTTACTGTACTGCTGTAACTACTGGAGTGTGACATGTAAAGCAGCATAAAATTCTCCTCTCAGTTTTGAATAGTAGCCCACACTTGATTCATTGATGTGTTAAAATCAGTTAAGGTGAGCAGGTGCAAGAATAACTGATCAATGCAGCTTATTTCAGCTGTGTCTTCCATACAGAGTATGAAGAAGTAGAAGCCATTTGTGTCATGCATTATATGAAATCACCCTTGGTAAAATGTCATTCATCTGCGCCTTCTCTCAATAAAAACAGAAAATGACAGGGCGCCTGCCCTAGTGTAAAATCGTTATTGAAGAGTGCGCCTTCTCTCCCCCTGTCCAATCACAGAATTCCATGTACTCTGTGACTAGAATACAAGACATTTTAATAATGGGGAAGGGGGAGAGTGAGTGACCAACCGACCGCTATCCCTACACTGTACAAGATGGGATGTTACAGCAGCAGAGCCTGGAAGATCAAAGCTGACAAAGAGTTTTAGCATCCCTAGCAGCCCTGCGGATGCAGTATATCAAGCACTAGATGTAACTAAACTGGACCAACCTAAAGTAAAAACATGTTTTGTTTTTTTGGGGGTTTTTTTTAACCTGGAGTTCAGCTTTAATTATGTTATTTGTGGGGATTTAGGCCCCTTTCACACAATGTTCCAGTCAGGTCTTTCAGTCAGTTTCCTGACAGATCCAATCGAAACCCTTATGTTAGTCTTTTGCTACTGTTTACATACGATTACTTCCAAGTCTGTCTAGGTCAGCATAAAAAAACAAAACTAAACAGAATTCCATTTTGGCGGACCTGAATGGGACAAATCGGAGGCAGTCGGATGTAAACAGACACATTTCCGCTTACATCTTACTCCCCATGGAACTAACATGGATCCAGTTAGTTTCGTTTTTTCCTCCATCGATGTACGAAAAAAACTGGACATGGATCCCCACAAAGTGACATCCGTTCTTTTCTGCTTTGATCAGTACGGATGGCACCCGTGTGAAAGGTGCCTTACTTTTCCAATTTGCTTTTGCCATTTGCACCACAGTTTAAATTTTTTATCCCAAATTCTTTATCCCAACAATCTTGGTAGAAGAAAAATATATTGGATAAAACCTAAAACATAAGGTTCCTATTCTTGTTTAGAAACAATACAGAAAAGAAGTGGTGACACAGACAAGAGTTGTATGTCATGCCTGTCTACACTAAATATTTCAAAGCAAAAGGTTTTATAATTACATGCAATTATGAGATGATGTCACTTTTTCAAGTATTGTTGCAGTTTACCTCAAATGTTTTGCAGATCATTTCTTTTGATACATTATTCATTGTTTGTTTGTACAAAGTGGTCACTTGACATATAATTTAAATGTTCTGTTTAATATTTCAGTCAATGCTAAACAATCGTGAAGACAGTTCCCAGTTAATGCTGGACAGCAAATATCTCTTCCAAGTAACATTTCCATTCAGTCCATCTCCCCATGCTCTGGAGGTGATCCAAATTCCCAGCAGCCTCAAACTTGGCTTCCTAAAGAGGATCTAAAGCCTAAGAAAGAACTGCACTTTCTTTGTCTACAGACACGAGGGACACGTGAAAGCATTAATCTGTGGATGAACTGGCTAACATTCTTTATTTGGGAGTATTCATGGTTTTAGGTGGGATTTCCCCAGATTATTGTGTTTTTAATTGATCTTTTCCAACAAACAAATAGTTTTTTTTAAATGAAGGATTTTCTGAGAAGAAATTACAGCATTTCATGCAAACAAACAGACAGAAAAGTTCCATATTAACATGCGTTACTATGCTATGCATCAGGTGTTGGCAATTACAGAGTTTACATTGTATATGTTTTATATATGAACAAGTTTTATGAACTGAATATAAAGTGATACTTTTCAGTGTATGTGTCTGTCTGCGTTTTTTTGTGTTTCTGGGTAGATTTTGTTAAAGCACATCTACAATTCTAAAACAAAAACCCCAGTTTTCTACCTGGTATATAGATAAAAGAGGTGACAATACTACAGATCACATTAACTATCACTTGTCATCGTTCAAGATAAGACTACTGTTTGTAATACTATTTAGGATTTTATAATTTGTGCAAATCTGGTATGAAATTCTTTGTATTGGCTATATTTATCTTTCTAGATAATCAAAACATGAAAATTATGTTTTGTCAAAATGCCCTGTATCGGGCCCGATTCCGATGCTAGCATCGGTATCGGGACATCCCTACTTATAATATCTATGAGCATGTGTTAATGTTTTGTAGTGCTAATCATTTATTACAGGTTGAAAGTACAGTATTTCTAAATGTGCAGAATATATCTGGATATTAACATACATAAGTAATAACATCAGAGATTGTTGATCCGGGGGATATCCAATTGCCTTAGGGGATCAGGAAGAAATGTTTTCTCCTATTTGAGCAAACTAAGCAATGCAATATAAAGGAGTTTTTTTTGCCTTCCTCTGGATCAAATGTTGGAAACTGGGAATAGGGTTCTGGAGGTTTTTTCTTTATTGAATTTTTGCCAATTTGGTTTAACTGAGTAGATTTATTTATTTTTTAAACCTATGTAACTTTGCTATATGTTTAGTAAGTTTTTTTAATAATTTTTTTCGTGAAAATGGCTTTTTTCATTGGCGATTCTCAGGCATTTCGCATTAGGACACTTGTGTTTACTCAAAACCCTTTCTGGCAGAATAATGATTTTTCCTTTTACACTGTACTATTTGGTCTATTCAACTTGGTCTCCCTAATGAGACCCTGTTGCTAGACCATTCATTTAATCAAAAATGTCCCCATAGAATTAACATATTCAAGCGCATTTTTACTGTAAAAGCCTCCCATTGTGTAGATATCCAAAAGCCGCCAGACTGCCGTTGGCACCTGTAATCTTGGGTGTGATGTCGGCTGAGTTAGAGCTATCATTGAAGTCACATTCTATAGTATTCCCCTTTGCTAAGTAAAAGGTTATGAAGGGTGTAAAAACTGGGGCCAGCACAGAGAGTAATTAGACTCCCAGATGAGGAAAGAACTGAAATATGCAAGGAGGCTCTAGCTGAACTACAGAATTAACACTTTCTGGAATAGCAAAATTTTCTAATGAGTTCAAAGGCACATTGCAAGTGAATAAATAATACATTGTGGTAATTTTCCTTACACTGCTTGTAAGCATTTAAAGTAGAACTATTGACTACCATTAAAAACAATATATGCTAAAGCATCTAATCCCAAGTACATCTGCATTTCAGTTTTATCGTAAAAGTTCCACAATATCTCATGCTCTTGCCAGTGAAATCCACCTAATGCAGCTGCCTGTGATGGTGTGGCAACAATACCGCACTGCTCCTGCTGAATCTGCCAAAATTTGAGACATGGGTGGCCTTGTCGGCCAGTGTAAGAATCAGAGGAGCTGGGTGGAAAACTGTCAGATACAGTCACTGTTTGGGTATGCAGGCAGTGCACGGTGCTGTCACCTCTCAAAGTACAATAGCTGGCAGTGCAGATTTTTCCTTCCACACGGTTTAGTGTAGATGCGGGAATCAGGTAATTTCTATCATTCAGAGAAATGTAGCTTACAGCAGTAAGGATCTAAGATGGCACAGTATAAAGTCGGCTGCACAGCCACTAGAATTTACATTAATTTGTAATTATTGGGCCAGCATTTTAGTCCAGGAAGTAGATGCTGACTCCAGATGATACATCAATAAACATGCCAGCAGCCTTTTGGGAAAGAAAATAGATAAATCGTTTGTCACGTGGAGTACCTAGCATGCATGTATTCATAACACTGATGACAAATTGATCCTATGTCCACTATAACTGTTAAATGGTGATGCTGAGCCTTTAGAGTGTTTTGAGTGCTGATTATCACACACAGAGGTTAGTAAAGCTTGTGTGATGTTTTGGGGATATTAGCAAAATGGTGAGCTCTTAGTAACCACTTTTAAAGCCGATTTAACATGGAAGCACAGTCTTTTTTGAAAAGACAGTCCTTTAATTCTTCTACAAACAGAAATTAGCTTTCCATCAGCAAAATGATACACAAATGCAGCTTCTCTTTTAGCAAAGTAAATAGATAGTCTCACTAACGAAAGGTAGGCAAGGTGTCGCATTGGCAAGGTGTCCCAACCCCAGGGTTTTCGGGGTACTTCCCCACAGAGCTACGGTTCACAGCAGTGCTCTGTACAGTCTAAGCAGTACCCCAGGGGCATTCTACATCACTCATGTGACTCTTACACACATCCCTGGTGTGTCACTAGCTCTCTCAGCCTCCCTGGCTATCACTTGTGTGTTTCCAGCACACATGCCACCTGAATTGACTGACTCCTGGGTGGAGTCCTCCTAACTCCTGGATGGGAACCTTCCCCATCTCCCAGGTAGAGCCCTAAACATTGCCAGTACCCTTACCATAAGTGCTCTGTACAGCTGTGCAATCAATAGATGCTGGTCACTAATAATTTTACATGGACCCACGAATAGAGATTTCATCCCTCCCAAATCTCTTTGAAATCTCCCAGTTCCAGGATCCTGACCAGAGTCCAGAAAATCCGTAACAAAGTGAAAAGCCAACTCTTTCCCTGTATAAATGCTTGCTTTCTGAAACCCCCAGCCCCTCTGGCTGAGAGTCCTGGGTGACAATGTTGCCAAATTACATGATTACACAATTGTAGAGTGGGTACACACAACTTTCATACGAAAAATCTTATCAGAGCATTCAATAATGCCATCAGAGACTTGGCTATTGTCATTAGAAATTTAATTCGATTTTGGAATGAATGGCGTTTCCCAAATGAAAACCAAAAATGAAACCGTTTTCTATCCTTCCATCGATTATTAATTTGAGCCCATTAACAATTAGAAAATAAGTAAAATACCTAAAGCTGGGTATACGTGGTTAGAATTCCAAAAACTATTTTTTTTTTCATACGGAATTCTAACCATATATACCTTTAGGTATTTTACTTTTTTTGTGGAAAGATATGAATTCTCAGTTTTTCCCCTATACATCCACATTTCAGCCGAGCTGGGAGTAGAGGTTAGTCAATGTGAGCAAGAAGGGGCAGTTTCCCTGTCTGTTGCTTTAACTAAGATAACTGTCTGTCCCTGGTTAGGCACAGTTGACCGTAGACTTCAGAGAAAACTCAAGCCAATTTGTTTTGTTCGGAAAGGTTAAAATCTGTGTCAGCTTTGTTTTTCTGTCCGTGACCATGCTCTCAGTAAGGTGGGGGATGTCTGGGTTCATTTAAAGATAAATCCTCTTTATGGTTTTTAAACTGTTGTGATCATTTTTGTTGTTCAGTGCTTTTGGTAAAGCCCCTGGCCTGCTGCCTATACCTAAATTTAACAGAACTCCTCTGTGACTTTATACTAATCATCCCATTTTGGATGAATACAAAATGCTAAAACTTAGTAAACACTGGTACTTTCCTTTCTTACTTTGGATATTTAAACATCCATAGGCTATACAAAGGACAAAGGGACATCAGCTGCACATTGGGGAAATATGGGAAGTGATTCATTATATCAAGAGTGGTTACATCTGGCAATGAAGTTGATGGATCTGTATCTTTTTCATTCTGTCTATGTTACTAAACTCTCTCTTTGCATTGTAAATGCAATTGCACTGAAGGAAAATTTACAATCCTGCCCATAGCAATTTTTATCCAGCTGTGAGCTTGGATTTTTTTAATTTTCCTCAGATCATCTTACAAAGTCAGACCTGCTAGTTTTAGTGCATCAATTGTTGGTAAGTTTGTTCAGTAGCATATGGAGAAAGTAAAGCTCCCGATTCTGTGTAAAAGTCTGTGCATATACAATAGTCTACATTAGGGATGTCCCGAAACCGATACTAGTATCGGTATCGGGGCCGATACCAGGTATTTTCACGAGTACTTGTACTCGTAAAAATGCCCCGTTTCTTAAAGCCGATACCAGCCCTTTATATTTTCAAGTCCCAGCGGCCGTCCGAGTTCCCGCGCTTGTGGGGACCCCGGCAGCCTGCTGGGGACCCCGGCAGCCTGCTGGGGACCTGCCCTTAGCTGTGCATGGCAGTGCCTGTCTGGTTGTATATGTCCTCCTCCTCCTTCCCGGCGCAGGCTCAGCCATGGACAGCCCCGCACACAGCACAGTACAGCCCAGGATATCGGCACACTCCACAGCATAGGAACTGCCCGCAGAGCAGTGGAGACATGGACTTGTATTCTGCTGTGGTGACATGGACTTGTATTCTGCTGTGGGGACATGTATTCATTTCTGGTGACATCTTTATTTAGCTCTGGTGAGAAACTGCCCTAAAATCATCAGTCTGTGCTGAGAAAAAATGTCACCGGGACATCGGGACATCCCTAGTCGACATACACAGTAGTCTTTTATATAACTAATAGTATTTTTGAGATGTTTTTTTTTGCTGTGCAACATTGGTACACATTCCTTAAAGCAGTTCCCAAATTCACTCTAGTTTATGCAAAAGCTATGTGATCAAAATTTGTCCAGAATGGAGTTCAGGCTGGGGACCTTTGAAATGTCGCACAGCAACAATCCTATATAGACAGACATTAGGGGTATAGGGTCTTAATGGGAATGTTAAATGGTGTTGTACATAGGTTGTTTCTTTCTTTTTGTGTCAGGTAAATATTAAATAGTGTATGTAAATGTTTAGCATTTTAGACATCATGTTGAACCCTTAGCTACGTTTTTACTTGTGTAGCTCTATTTACTGCCTATTGAACAACACCTTTTGTTTACAGGCTATCTAGCTCAAGCTACATTTTACAA